AGGTGGGGACTCCATCTTGGATTTACGTCCCGACCAGGGCCTCACTGTTGACAGAGCCCTTCTCCAAGGAAGCTTCTGGGCCTTCTACCATCACACACCTTTTTATGGAATTCTCTCTTGAGGCTGTCACCCAAAAGTCTCCTGTCACTGGTTGTCTTAGTACATTTCCTGTGGCTGTAATTGAATACTATAGACTGGGTAATTCATAAAGAAAGGTTTATTCAGCCCATGATTCTTAATGGGCCACATCTGATGAAGGCCTTCTTGCTGGTGAGGACACCGCAGAGTCCCACCATGGCATGCGGATCACATGGTGAGACACAGCAAGCATTGTAGTGTGGAGGAGTCTCCTCTTCTAATAAAGCCACTAAAATACTGGGTGTGGTGGAGCACGCCTGTAATCCCAGCACTTGGGAGACTGAGGCTGGAGGACTGGGAGTTTCAGGCCAGCCTGGGCTACATATATAGCTATAGATTGATGAATGGCTGGAGGAAGGGAGGGAGGGATGGATAAATGGATAGATAGATAGACAGACAGACAGATAGATGATACATACATACATGGATGGATGGATAGGAGAGATAGATAGGTAGATAGATCCTGCCTCAAAAACAATAATAATAAGGAGGCCCCTAGTTCCATCACGAGGACCCCCACCCCACTTACTGTCATTTAATCCTGTACTCCTGATCCAAAGGCCCCAGTGAGTCCCCACTTTGATACCTCACAGTGATTAAATTTCAGCGTGAGCTTTTGGGCACCTTTCAGGCCCTAGCAGTGGGTGACCTGGAACGCAGTACTGTAGACCGGGCAGCTAAAACATTGGTGCCCAGCAAGGTCCACTTTCTGGTTCACAGAGATGTCCTCCTGCTGTGTCCTCGCTTGGTGGAAGGAGTGAGGGGGCTCTCTGGTGTCTCTCTCTCTCTCTCTGGCAGTACTGGGGTTTGAATTCGGGGTCTCACACTTGCTAGGCAGATAATCTACCACTTGAGCCACTCCACCAGCCCTGTTTTGTGTTGGGTTTTTTCAAGATAGGGTTTCTCAAACTATTTGCCCAGGCTGCCTTTGAACCGTGATCCTCCTCATCTCTACTTCCTGAATAACTAGGATTACAGGAGTGTGCCAGTTTTTTCTCTTTGGAGCGGGGTGGGAGGGGGTTGCAACTCTACCAGCCCTGTTTTTTAAATCTCATTCTGCGGCCCAGGCTGGCCTCCAACGCCTGGGCTCCATCGACCCTTCTGCCTCAGCCTCCTGAGTGCTAAGACTCTAGGACTCATACATACCACTGTGCCCTGTTTAATTATCTTGTTTATAAAAGCACTAATCCCATTCATGAAGACGGGTGTCACAATCCAGACACTTCCCAGAAGCCCCGCTTCAGGTTTTTTGGTTGGTTGCTTTTGCAGTACCAATATTTGAATTTAGATCCTCACACTTGCTAGGAAGGCGTTCTACCACTTGAGCCTCTCCACCAACCCATGGGGGTTAAGGCCAGGGCCATGTGCATGCTAGGGAAGTGCTCTGCCACTGAGGCACACCCCGACCCTTTTTCATTTGTATTTTGTTTTTGACTGGGCTTGCCTCAAACTTGTGATCTTCTTGCCTCTGCTTCCCTAATAGCTGGGACTATAGCCCTGCCCCACCAGGCTTGGCTAGCCACACCACCTAGTCTCTTATCTGAAATGCTGGGGACCAAGAGTGCTTTAGAGTTTGGATTTTTTTCAGCTCATGGAACATTTGGAATATTTGCATACATAATGAGCCATCTTGGGTATGGTGCCCAAGTCGAAACACAGAAGTCATGGACGTTCCATATGCACCTTATACACACGTAGCCTGAAGGTAATTTTATAAGTATCTTAAAATAATTTTGTGCATGAGGCAGGTATGGTAGTGCTCACGTGTAAACCCAGCCACTCAGAAGGTAGAGATCAGGAGGATGGTGGTTCAAGGGAAGCCCAGCAAAGAGTTAGCAAGACCCCATCCAATCAATAAGCCAGGTGTGGTGGCTACATGGGAGGACATAGGTAGGAGGATTGAGGTTTGAGGCTGACCCTGGGCAAAAAAAAAAACATAAGACATTACCTGAAACTTAACTTAAAAAGCAAAAAGGGGTGGAAGCACAGCCTAATTGGCAGAGCATCTGCCTAGGAGCCCATGGTGCTGGCTGCAATCCTTAGTACTACAAAAACAAAACCAAAAAAAAGTTGGTTGTGAGGCCAGGCACCAGTTGCTCACACCTGTAATCCCAGCTACTTGGAGGCTGAGATGGGGAGGATCAAGGTTCAAGGCCAGCCTAGGCAAAGAGTTTGGGAGACCCATCTCCAAAATAACCAGAGCAAAATGGACCGGAGGTGTGGCTCAAAAGGTAGAGAGCCTGCTTTGCAAGCACAAAGCTCTAAGTTCAAACACCAGTCCCACCAAAGGAAAAAAAAATCAAATTGAAATGATAGTTGGGCGTGGTAGCAAACACCTGTGACGCCAGCACTTAAGAGGCAGAGGCAGGAGAGTCCCGAGTTCAAACCAGTCTGGGTACATGTGAGACTGCTCCGAAAAAGTTTAAAGATCCATCTTCTCTTGAGTTAGTGTCTCCTGATTTGTTCCCCTATATGTCTAACCTCCTCTCCCAGCCCCCTGCCCACTTTTTGTATCGCCCTTGGCCCTGTGATGGGACCTTGGCAATGGTTTACCCATCCCCCCTTCTCCACTGCAGCTTGGACCTGACCACAAGGGCTTGGGCAGCTGAAGGCTAAGCTCTGGGTCCAGCTCTGCCTCCTTTCCCTTCATCTGACAGGACCTGGGCTCACACCCCACCAGCCTCACCCTGGACCAGACCACACCCCTGCTCTCATCTTCTCTCTCTCTCTCTCTCTCTCTCTCTCTCTCTCTCTCTCTCTCTCTCTCTCTCTCTCTCTCTGTCTGTCTTTGTGGCAGCACTGGGGTTTGGACTCAGGGCCTCATGCTTGCTAGGCAGATGCTCTTACTGCTTGAGTGACTCCACCACTCTGTGATGGGTTTTCTCAAGATAGGGTCTCATGAATGAACCTTGACCCTCCTGATCTCTGCCTCCTGAATAGCTAGGATCACAGATGTGAGCCACAGGCGCCTGGCCTCATTCCCTGTCTCTTAAGCCCTCTGGAGCAAGGGTTTCACCGTGAGAAGGGGGCGTCCCAGTACCTAGGTAGGGAGGGAATGCTCTGTGTCTCCATCTCAGTGTTGGTGACGCAGAAGGCTCCAGGGGACCCCTGGGAGCTGCTCACTCTGTGCACATGTCACGTGTATGGACAGGGTGAAAAAAATGGCCCTGTGAACAAGGAACAAAGCACTGACCCTCACCACAGCTCAGACAGATCTCAAAAGCACGATGCTGAATGACAGAACCCAGACACAAAGGCCACACCATGTGTGATCCATTGATAGGAAATGTCCAGAGCAGGCAAATCCACAGAGACAGGAAACAGATCAGTGACTGCCAGGGGCTGGGGAGGGGACAGGGAGTGACTGTTCTTGGGAATGGGGTCTCTTTTTCGGGGGAGGGAATGATCTGGAAGCAGAGGTAGGGGTTGCACACATTATACTAAGTGCTACTGAACTGTGCAGTTTTGATTGGTGAGTTTTATGCTTTGCTATCAAAACCATCCCCCTGGTCCTGTGGACTGCAGGGCTCCTTTGAGGTGGCCTGGCCTGCATCTGTCTGCTCGCTCCCTCCTGCCAGGTCAGCCCTGGCTGGCAGGCTCCATCCAAAAGGGGCCAGGTACTCAGTTTTCCTCCTGACAGACCAGATGGTGACCGCTCCTGCAGTCACTGGTCTGCAAATGTCCAGACCAAACATAAACGAGTGCACTTGGTCACCTGCCCACAATGCCTTATCCGGGGATGCTGGCCTGTGAATCAGGCCTTCCCATTTCAGGAAACAGTATTTTTCTTCAGGTTGCTTTAATTTCGTTGAATTAATTTATTTATTTTTACTTGCGAAATTTTTTTAACCATTTAGAAATGTTAAGAAAACATTCTTGGATGGTGGGCAGTACCCAAACATTGTGACCAAATTTGGCCATGGTTTGTCGTATCAGATGAACAATTACACATTTGGCCTCTGTATCCGAGGGCCCTGGACCTGCAGACTGATCACCCAAGCATTGAAAATATTCAAGGGGAGAAACTGCAGCTGTACTGAGGGAGCACAGACCTTTTCTCTTATTGTCACCCCTAAACAAGGCAGCAGAGCCACTCTGTACACAGCGTCTGCATGGCGTTAGCTGTGACAAGTCACCTAGAGGTGACATGAAGTGCACAGGTTCGCTGCAGACACTACCCCATGCTGTACAAGGGCCTGGCATCCGCAGTTCTGGTACCCGAGGAGGTCCTCCTGGAGCCAGCGGTTCTCTGTAGATACACAGGGACGACCGTAACTGACAGAGAATTCTGGCCGAGTGCTCATGGCTCACACCTGTAATCCCAGCTACCTAGGAGGCTGAGATGGGGAGGATTGCCATTCAAGGACAGCCCGGGCTAATAGTTTGAGAGACCCCCATTTCCAAAATAACCAGAGCAAAATGGACTGGAGGTGTGGCTCAAGTGGTAGGGTACCTGTTTTGGAAGTTCACAGAGTCCTGAGTTCAAATCCCACTCCCACCAAAAAAAAGTTCTGATGACTAGTTTTTTGGGTTTTGTTTATTTGTCTGTGTTTTTGGTGCTGGGGGTTGAACCGAAGGCCTCATGAATGCTGGGTAAGCACTATCCCACAAGCCCACACCCTGGTCCGACAGCTGGCATTCTGACCACTGAACACTTAACACCTGAGCGGTTCACACACTCCAGTATCACACAGCTCAGCTGCACCCCTGTCTTTTCCAGCTCTTATCTGGGCCTGTTGAGTGAGTGACTTACAGTTGGTTCTGGAGACAGGAGCGCAGTACCCAGAGAGAGTTCCAGGCCGAGGCCTGTGGAACTTCCACCCTTGTGGTCTCAACCCTCTGTCGTCCTGTCCTCCCTGCAGGCTTTTGGGAATGCCAAGACGGCCCACAACAACAACTCCAGCCGCTTCGGGAAGTTCATCCAAGTGAACTACCTGGAGAGCGGTATCGTGAGAGGGTAAGTCACCCACCATCCGGGACTTGAGCGCACCGAAGGCATGCACTGGGGAACCGGTTGGAATTCTCTTTCATGGTGCGGGGGGTGGAACCCGGGGCCTCACGCATGCTAGGTGAGCATTCGCCCCAGCTGCAAGTGTGACTTTGAGTGTTCGAGGCAAAGGTCTGTGAGATGGGTGGGGACGGGGAGTGGCAAGCTGAAACTTCTGATGTGATGGTGGTTACCAGGCCACGACAGCCCAATGTGCTTCCTGGGCTCTAAAGTTTCTGCTTTGAGAGGCAGGTGTGTGGGGTCACACGCAGGCAAGAGTGCATGTGGACTCCGGTGTTTGCCAGATGTGTGTCCCTTTAGCTAGAAAGCTAGAGTATTAGGTAGTGAGCAGGTGATTGTTTGTGGTAATGGGTGGGTGGGTGGGGGAGTGAGTGGGTGGGTGGATGGATGGGTGCGTGAATGGAGGGATGGACAGTGGGTAGGTGGATGGATGGTGGGTGGATGGATGGATTTATGTGTGGACGTATGGATAGATTTGTGAGCGGATAGATGAATAGATGGATGGGTTTTATGTATGGGTAGCTGGATGGATGGATGGGTAGATTGACGGATAGATTTGTGGGTAGATGAATGGATTCGTGGATAAATAGATTTGTGGGCAGATGGATTTATAGGTAAGTAGATGGATAGACAGATGAATCCAACCATGGGTGGGAGGGTGGGTGGGTGGGTGGATGGATTTTGTACATGGGTAGATGATGGATAGATAGACTCGTGCATAGATGGATGTATAGATGGATGGATGCATTTGTGGGTAGGTGGAGGAATAGACTCTGTGGGTGGGTGAGTGGGTGGATGAATGACCGATTCAAGGGTTGATGGGTAGATTTGTAGGTACATGGGGGAATAAGCAGGTCTATTCATGTGTGTGAATGGACAGATGGAAGGATGGATTGATTCATGCCTGGATGACCAGTTTGACCAGTGGCTGCATTGGTGGTGGGTTTGTAGAGGGGTGTGGAGGTGACCTTCTGGCCTGGCCATTCACCGGAATCCACCCCATAGCTGCAGGTGCTGGTGTGAGGGAACACTTCACACTCAGGAGGTGAAAAACAGGGCTGTTCTCCTGGCTTCTTCACCCTCTGGTGTCTTTCCTCACTCCTGTTTGGGCTGTGTTGGTGGTGGTGTGGGTGAGGGACCCTCGATAACTGTCAGGGTCTGCTCTCACCACTCAGAACCCCGTGACTCCCGTGGCCTCAGTCCCCACAAGGCCATCTGCAGGTCCCTTAGCCACTGCAGGCACTGCCACCCGACTGGCTGGGACGCCTGGAGCCAGTGACCTGTCCTCCAGGCTTGGCCTGTCCTCCCTGACCACCCTGACCTCTTTGTCCCTCAGTTTTTTTGTGTGTTTAAATTCACATCACAGCAACATGGATGAGCCTGGAAGACACTGTGTTTGGTGAGGTGAGCCAGTCCCAGAAAGACAGGGAGTGGGTGTCACTCATTTGTGGAATCTAAAAGAGCTGGTCTTGTACAAGTAGAAAGTAGGATGGTTCCCAGAGGCTCCCCTCCCTGGGAGGAGGCTGGACAACAGGAATAAATTACAGGAAGGTCTGTCTGTCCTACGGCGGGTGCCCAGAGTTAAGAACGTTATAGTAGCCAGGCACCGTGGCTCATGCCTGTAATCCCAGCTACTCAGGAGGCAGAGATCAGGAAGATCGAGGTTCCAAGCCAGCCCAGGCAAATAGTTCTCGAGACCCTATCTTGAAAAACCCATCACAAAAAAGGATTGGTGGGGTGACTCAAGGTGTAGGCCCTGAGTTCAAACCCCAGTACCACCCAAAAAAAAAAAAAAAAGTTATAGTGGAGATTTCAAAACAGTTCAAAGAAGGGTTTTTATTGTTTTCACCACAAAGAAGTAATAAATTCCTCAAGTGTTAACTACTCATGTTTTGTCGTATCCACTATCACAGGGTCACACTGTTGCCATAAGTACGTTCAGTTATGTACCAAAAAGTTGGGGGAGCTGGGGTGCAGCTCAGTGCTGCAGCATTGCCTAGCATACGTGAGGCCCTGGGCTCCATTCCCTGCATCATTAAAAACAGCTTGCATGGTGGCACACTTCTGCGGTCCCAGCTTGAGCCCAGGAATTCAGGCCAGTCTGGGCAACACAGTGAGACCCCATCTCAAAAAATTTAAATGCACCTAAAATTGATCATAACTGTTTTAAGTGTCCAATTCAGTGATATTAAGCACATTCACGTTCTTGTGCAGCCATCACCGTCATCACTGTCCCTCCCCAAGCCTGTCCCCTGTCCCCAGCACATGGCCTCTCTCTTGCCCATTGACAGCAGCCAGCATCCCCCCAACCCCCAACAAGGTAAATTGGAGAATTCCTGAAAAGGCTTTGAACAGCACCTGGAACACAGCATGTTCTTAGGACACACTGTCACTCCTACAGGCTGAGCAGCCCTAATCCAAAATTCCAAAATCCGTACACCGACATGAGGCCCCAGGTGGAGAATTCCACACCTGACCTGGTGGGACGGTTTGCAGTCAGAACACAGGCGCACTTGTAATCCCAGCTACTCAGGAGGCAGAGATCAGGAGGATCAGGGTTCAAAGCCATCCTCAGGCAGAGACCCTATCTTGTAAAAACCCATCACAAAGAAGGGCTGGGGTAGTGGCTCAAGTGGTGGAGCACGTGCCTGAATTCAAACTCCAGTGCTGCCAAAAAAAAAAAAAACCCCACAGATGCACTAAAGCAACTGTGTAAAGTGACTTCAGGCTCTGCAATATGTGTAAGGTGTGCATGAGTCCTAAATGATCTTCATCCCTACACTTGGGAACCCTCCCAACACATCTCATCGTGAATATGCAGATATTCCAAAATAAAAAAAAAATTGCGAAACACTTCTGGTGTCAAGCTTCTGAGATAAGAGTTACTCAGCCTGGGTTAGCGTGGAGAATGGTGACAGACACCCCACCCCATCCTTCTCAGCACCCCACACCTCACAAACTTGACTCCCACCCTATAACCCGTAGCTCTGCAGCAGCTATGAGAACTCTGCTTAAAGGAAAAACGCTAACAGCTTGGCATAGCTCCAAGGTCCCTGCTCTTCAAAATCACAAAAATGAAATGGCCAGACCAGAGAAGGTACCCACAAAAGACTTCTGTCTCAGTTATAAAAAGAGCAGTTAGGATGCAATGGTATTTCCAACATGAAAACATCAACAGACACCCCATCAAAGAAAAAAGAGAGAGAGAGAGAGAGAGAGATGAATAGCTAATGGTCACCTGAGGAAATGCAGATCGAAGTCAGCATATCACGCTGCTTCACCTCCTGCTGTTAGGACAGCTAGAATCAGAAGGAAGATGGGAACAAGTGCTGGAGAGGATGTGGAAAACTGGAACCCTGTCTCTGCTTCTGGGACTGTAAGATGGTGTACAGCCTCAGGCAGTTGCTTAAAAAGTTGAACCCAGCTGGGCTAGGGGGGTGGCTGAGTGTGAGCACTTGCCAGGCATGCATGAGGCTCTGGGTTTATCCCCAGCACCATTAAAAAGGAAGAAAATGCAGCAGCAGCCAGGCACGGTAGCTCATTCCTGTAATCTCAGCTACTCAGGAGGCAGACATGGGAAAATTGTAGTTCAGGGCCAGCCCGGGCAAAAAAAAAGTTAGCAAAACCCCATCTTAAAAAAAAACAAAACCAGCGTGCAATATAAGCCCATTTGAAATTGTCACAATCAGCCCCCCCCATACAACGAATATATCCTAATTGTTTAAAGAAGTTTTTTTAAAAACCAAGTTAGGTAATCCCAGTAATCCCAGCTATGTGGGAGGCACAGGTAGGGGAATCGCAGTTACTGTGGTAGAGCACTTGGCCCTGAGTTCAAACCCCAGGAGCAAAGGCATGGAGGGAGGGAAACACAGAGTTGTTTTTATATAGCAACCCAGGAGAAAGGAGAGCGTACATCTGCACAAAGATTTACCTGTACCCACACGCCCACAGCAGATTTTTTTGCAAGATTGCCAAAAACTGCAAATAGCACAGTGTCCACCAGCAGGTGATTGGATGAACAAAATGTGGTCCATCCATTCCACAGAATATTGCTCACTCATGAAAAGGAACATCGTTGTGATCATGGTGCAGCGTGGCTGAATGTCAGAGTGAGTGTGCTGATGGAAGGAGCCAGACGCAGTGCACACTGCGTGATTCTATTGCTTTAAAATTCTAGAAAAGGCAACTAATCTGTAGTGTCAGCCATATGGGGCTGGGGGACAAGGAGGGATGACAAGGGGCCCAGGGAGACATTTGGGGGTGATGGGTATGTCAGCTGTCTTGATCCTTGTAGTGGGCTCCAAGGTCAAAGCATCAGGGGTAGAGCGCCTGCCTAGCATGCATGAGGCCCTAAGTTCAAACCCCAGTACTGGAAAAAAAGATTGTACACTTTAAATACATGGATAAAGCCATCAAAATGAGCCTGTTGTCACCTTACTTGTAAGTTTTTTGTTGGAATCTTCACAAGCCAATGAATAAAACTGAGTCACAAATGTAAACCTCAAAAAACAAAAGCTTTTGCAATTTCAAACTTACTTCATTGCTGGGGAAGGGATGGGGAGCAGGGGCCACCCTTCTTCTGCTATGTTCCGTGAATAAACCGGTGTCATCGCTTTGTCCCTGTCCACCTTGGGTTGGGTCTCACCTGAGACATGCCACCTTTCCCTGTCTGGCCCTCAGCGTGACTGTGGCCTGGGGAACACAATTGGTCAGCCCGGCTGCCTGATTTTTATAGATGGAAGTCAGAGGGCAAGGTGACATTTGGGATGCTTGCGATTATTTTGATCCTCCTGGAGGAAGTTAGTTTATAGCTGACTGTTCCTTGGTGCCAAAAACTATACGAAACTATTGCTGTTGAAGAAGACAGTGTCCAGGTTGGCATGGCTTGTGCGAGGCCCTGTGTTCCACCCCAGTACGGCCAGGGGAGGGAAGCCAGAGGAAGGAAACACTAAAACGTAACGTTCCTTTTTTTTCTTTCAATGACAGCGCTGTCGTAGAAAAATACCTGCTTGAAAAGTCTCGCCTGGTCTCCCAGGAGAAGGATGAGAGGTAGGGGATGATGGAGGTCTTTTAGTCCCACCTCTGCCTTTGTCTGCAAAAGGGAGAAGCAAATGTCCTGTGATCTGACAGGCTTTAGGAGAAGCTGTGGCTCCTTCCTGAGGGTTTCACTCACCCTCAGGTGTCTGTGCAAAATGTGGTTAGGTTAGAAACATCTCTGATTGACAGGTGAGTGAGACCCCCCCTGCCAAGCCCCCCGGAAATCCTTGACAAGTTTATATAGATCAGCGTGAGGCTTTTGGTCTGTGCGTGTTTAAAGTGCTTTTCCCTCTCAGGTATGGTCTTTTAGAAGCACAGTAGGAATGGTTTGAAAAGTGGCTTTCAGGTGGCCTCTAAGAGTGACTTTTTTGCCTCCTGCTTCCCACCTCAGGAACTACCACGTGTTCTATTATTTGTTACTCGGTGTCAGTGAGGAGGAGCGCCAAGAATTTCAGCTCAAGCAGCCCGAAGATTATTTCTACCTCAACCAGGTAAACAGCTCCTGGCCCCAGCCACAAATGCCACCTCTGTTCCCTCAGGGCTGTTTACCAGCCGCCAGGAGAGCAGAGGCCGCCCGCCCGCCTGGCCCTCTCCAAGGAGGCGACATAAAGGAGTCCTTTCATCCCAAGTCCCAGCACTGCCCAAGACTCTGGCCAAAATCACGCTCGCTTGCTGCCCAGAAACACCCAGAATGGTGACGCCTTTGTCTTTTCAGCATAACTTGAAGATCGAAGATGGAGAAGACCTGAAACATGACTTTGAAAGACTGAAGCAGGCCATGGAGATGGTGGGCTTCCTACCAGCCACCAAGAAGCAGTAAGTGGGGGGCCCCAGGGCCATTCTGCCCTGGCCTGCAGGGGGTAGCCTCTGCTTTACCAGTCACTCTGAGAGCTGACCCACAGCCAGCCATGAGTCATTGGGAGATAGCAGTCAAAACCAACATGAAGCTGGGGCTGGTGGTGCACGCCTGTAATCCCAGCACTTGGGAGGCTAGGGAAAACCAGTCTGGCCTACATACTTAGAACCTTCTTAAAAAAATAGATGCTGGGCACAGTGACTCATGCCTGTAATCCCAACTACTCTAAAGGGTTGTGGGGTTCAAGGATGGCTGGAGTAAAAAGTCAGCAAGACCCATCTCGATTAATATGCCAGGTATGGTAATACATACTGTCATCCCAGCTACACAGGAGGCAGGGGTAAGAGGATCACTGTGTGAGGCCAGCCCTGCACAAAAACACAAGACCCTAACTGAAAAATAGCCAGAAGCTTGGGGCTCAAGAGATAAAGCACCTGTCTAGCAAGCATGGGGCCGAGTTCAAACCCTAGTACTGCCAAAAAAAATACAAATCAGTGAATAGAAATTAGTTAAAATAGCTGTCTACAAGTCTCGTTCCACAGAGGACGTCCTCAAAAAAGACGGGATGTTTTCCAGACCCCGGCTCTTCCCACCCAAAGGCCCCCCAGTTCCTCTCCCCTCTCAGTGTAGAAACCGCCAAACATACGTGCCGTCTGTCCCAGGATCTTCGCCGTGCTCTCAGCCATCCTGTACCTGGGGAATGTCACTTACAAGAAGAGGGCCACAGGTCGTGACGAGGGCCTGGAGGTGGGACCCCCTGAGGTGTTGGACACGCTGTCTCAGCTTCTGAAGGTAACCTGCCGCCACCACCACCCCTCCTCACACCCACTGCTGGCCCTCATTGGCCACAAGGGGCAGCCAGGCCTGACTCAGGCAGCGTCCTCCTCTAAATGCCAGAACTTCCTCCATTTGTGGAGGTTCAGTGAGCCAGGCCTGTCTGGCTGCTTCCTGTCCTGTCATCTCTGCAACAGCCCTTCCTCATTTCTGAAGAACTCTGAGGTCTCCTCCTGCTTCGGCCCTTTAAGTGAAAGGCCTAAGCCCCACCCCCAACAACTTGGCCCGGCACAGCAGTGCACACTTGTAGTCCCAGTACTCAGGAGGCTGAGGCAGGAGGTCATTTGAGCCCAGGAGTTTGAGGCCAGTCTGGGCCATTCAGTTGAGACTCCATCTCAAAAAACAAAAAATTATCAAACAAAATATCAAACAGCATAGTTTGATCAACAAGGTCCGTTTATTCACTGGTTCTCAGGTTTATTCACAGGTCTCAGGAGACCTGGGCGATATCTGGAGATGTTTTTGGTGGCCAAAGTCAGAGGTTGCTGCTGAGACCTCGCGGTGGAGGTCAGGGCCACTGTGCCGCACCCTGCGGTGCACAGGACACCCCTTCACAGGGATCCAGACCCTAAGACAAACCGTGGCCAAGCCGAGCAGCCTGCCTGTGGCTTTCTGTGTCTCTGCATTTTCTGTGGTGCCAGGGATGGAGCCCAGGACCCTGCACACTCCCAGCAAGGGCTCTACCTCCGAGCTGCTCCCCGAGCTCCAGCTTTCTGTTTTCTACTTGGGTTTTCCATCGGGGGCTTTTCTTGAAGATGTGCCTGGGCCTCAGTTTCTGTTCTGAGGACACACAAGCTCCTGCTGGGAGATTAGGGGAAACTCCCCTGTCCCTTTTCTTGCCAAGGCTAGCTCAGAGAGGGACGAGGTGCTTGGGTCTCTGGGTGAATTCCAAGACTTGAGCCCGGTCCCTGCACGCTGGGTGGGAGGCACCTCTGTGTGCAGGTACCACGTGGGCCAGTGGTCCACAGTCACAGCCAGGCCTGTGCACCCACACTGGGGGCTACTCTGAGGTGCCAGGGCCCACTTCCCAGCCCAGCCACTGGGGACCGTCTCCCATCCTTTCAGACTTCTGGACCTGCCTCAGTGGTGTGGAGACACCCCACAGACTCTTCACCTCCTTGTCTTTCTCCTTGACCTTGGAACAGGTGAAACGAGAAATCCTGGTGGAGGTTCTGACCAAAAGAAAAACAGTGACCGTCAACGACAAGCTCATCCTGCCCTACAGTCTCAGTGAGGTGAGTGCTGCCGCTGCTCTGGGTACTTGAGGGGTGCCAGCCCCCAAAACAAAGATGTAAGAGCCAGCATGGGTGAAGTGCTGGACTAAACTGGCCATGGTCCCGGGTTCTCACGTGAGCTCAGGTGTGGCACAAACCTGCTTCTAGGAGTTCCCATTATCATGAGGGTACAAAGACCCCCGAGGGTGCCTAAAGCCACAGAGAGTACAGAACCCTATATGGAGTATTTTTCCCTTAGCATGCATGCCTGTGATGGAGCTTGATACATGAATTCAGTCCCACGAGAGGTTAACAATACCCAGTAATAAAGAAGAACAGCTGTAGTAATACACTGCAATAAAAATTATGTGAATGTACACTCTCAAAATATCTTTGGCCGGTGCCTGTGGCTCACACCTGCAATCCTAGCTACTTGGGAAGCTTGGGAAGCTCAAACCTTGGAAGGTTTGAGGTTCGAGGCCAGCCCAAGCAAATAGTTTGTGGGTATGACCCAATATAACCAAAACAAACAAACAAACAAACCACTACCCTTTCACATAAAGGAAGCATTGTGCAGCTTCTATTTGGCACATCCAAATTCCAGCATCTCTACTCTTGTGTTTGGAGCCATTATTAAGTAAAATAAGGGTCATTTGAACACACATTTCAGTATCTCACAACAGTCAGTCTGGTAATGGGAGTGACTACTAAGTGACTAACGGGCGGGTAGTATACACAGCATGGATACGCTGGGCAGGGGGAGGGCTCTTGTCCCAGGTGAGATGGAGCTAAACTGTACAAGGCTTCATCACAAAACTCAGAATGGAAGTTAGTTATGAGTCATTTGTTTCTGGGATTTTCCACTTGATATTTTCAGATTGTGGTTGACTAAAGGTAACTGAAGCCAGAGGTCAGAGAGGACTACTGTGTCAGGCCATCCTTGGCCCTCAGGCCAGAACTCGGGCTGGGATGTTCATCTCTGTTTCCAAATGTTCAGTGAACACGCTGGCTCCCACCAGCCTGGGCTGGCCGACTCTGTCCTCCCCACCCTCCACCCCCCGTTTTTGTGAATCAAAGTTTTACTGGCACACTGACATGCCCATTTTTTTACTGCATTCTACTTCAGCAGCAGAACTGAGTGGTCACAGCTGAGCCTATCAAGCCAAAAGCCAAAAGCTAAAAGGACTGACATGTTTTGTGCTGGAGCATGACCTTCATGTGACTGCCACCATAGGGGGACTTGCCTTCACCCTGCCTGGGTGTTTTCTTCCTGGTGTGTTTGTCTCGTGTTCTGACATCTCAAGAGCAGTGTGACACAGCTTAGGCGGCACCAGGGAAGTACCTAGTTTTAGCTGATGGGGGCCCCTCATCCAAGGGCAGCTGCTTGGGTACTTCCAGTAAGTGCCATGGGTAGTCAGAGCCCACATAGACCAAAGCACCCCATGGTGGCGAGACCCAGGCAGCTCAGCCCCCCATCCCCACCCTCCCGCCAGAGAAATCAGTGATTTTGGCTTTTTGGGTTCCATTCCCAGCACCACAAAAAAAATTTTTAATACTTGGTAATAGAAATTTCCAGCTCTAATGTAACCTCGTGGGACCACCATTAGGTATGCAGTCTAATATTGATCAGATGTCATTATACAGCATAGAAGTGAAGTTAGGAGCTGGCGGAGTGGCTCAAGTGGTAGAGCGCCTGCCTAGCAAGTGTGAAGCCCTGGGTTCAAATCCCAGTACTGTTTAAAAAAAAAAAAAAAGGAAGCCTGTGGGTCACAGCTTCTCAGGAGGCTAAGACAGGAAGGTACCTTAAGCCCAGGATTTCAGGCCCAACCTGTGGAGAATAAAAAAAGGAGAGAGAGACAAGGGTTGTCCCACCCAAGCTGAGACAGCCTCTGTGTCCCCAGGCCATAACCGCCCGTGACTCCATGGCCAAGTCGCTGTACAGCGCCCTGTTCGACTGGATAGTGCTGAGGATCAACCATGCTCTCCTCAACAAGAAAGACATGGAAGAGGCTGTCTCGGTGAGTGGCCCCCAGCCAAGCCACCAAGCCGGGCACCTTCAGCCCCAGATGACCTCAGTGAACAACCAGGGACATCAGGAACCTCAGGCGAGATGCCGTCCCTCCCCCGGGCCAGCCCAGTGGGCAGGTCACACAGTCCAGGGGTCCCCCTCCTCCCCCCACCCGCCGCACCCCGGCTGGGGTGCGCTTGGTGAGCCTGCACGAGGCCTTGGTTCCATCTCAGCTCCACTGATGGAGAAAAAGAGCCACGATTCAAAGATGGCGACCACAGGAGGCCCCTTGGGTAACAACTGCATTCGGTCCCCCAGTGCCTGTCCATCGGGGTCCTGGACATCTTTGGGTTTGAAGACTTCGAGAGGAACAGTTTTGAGCAGTTCTGTATCAACTATGCCAACGAGCAGCTCCAGTACTACTTCAACCAGCACATTTTCAAGCTGGAGCAGGTAAGGATGGTTGCCAACATGGAGTACTGGCCCCCTTTGCCAGTTGTCTTTCTTCGGTGATACTGGAGTTTAAGCTTGCTAGCCACTTGAGCCGCCCCACTCCTTTGCTTTCTGATAGGATCTTGCTTTTATACCCAAGCCAGCCTCAGCCACAGTCCTCCTATTTATCTTCCTGAGCAGCTCGGATGGACAGGTGTGTGCTGCCACACCCAGCTCTTTATTGGTTAAGATGGTGTCTCGGTGTTTGCCCAGGCTGGCCTTTAATCACCATCCTTCTGTCCTCTACTTCCCGAGTAGCTGGGATTACAGGCATGACTTTCTCTGGCCAAATGTGCAAGTCCTTTCTGCAGGAGAGAAGCAGTTGACTTGTGACTGTTCACTTTGGTCCATGGTGGTGGTGATAGCCCATCTTCCATGCCTTTGGAGAGCCGAATGGTCAGCTCTCAATGGTGATTCTTGGTGGGGTGGGTTTCTGTAAACCTTTGGCTGATTTTACTGTAAGTCTTCTGATTGTTGAGCACTCAGAAGATGGCTGGCCAAACTGAGTTGTGTGGGAAGAGTAAGACAGCAAACCCACACCTTCGTGGAGAAAGGAGCAAACAGTATCTCACACTGTCATGTCGATTACACTTGATGTGATCACACTTTGGATATATGAGATGCATTCGTTCATTTCTGTTACTATAACAAAATACCAAAGGCTGAGTAGTTTATAAAGTAAAGAAGTTTACATCCCTCATGGTTTGGTTTTGAGGCTTATCATCCAAAAGCCCAGTGTGGATGATCACCACACCAGCTGTGGTCTGGAGAGGCTGGAGAGGAGACTGGTGTTCAGTGGCCTGCAGTGAAGTAACCAAGGTCAATCACCCTGCACTAGCTCTGCCTCTTGAAGGGCCTATCTCCTAACATCCCCACACAGAGGACCAGGCCTCCAACATGTGGATTGTTGGGAGACCACATCCAAATCTTAGTATAGGGATAAACTAGGTCCGTTAGTCAGGCTCCAGTAGCTCACACTTGTAATTCCAGCTCCTTGGGAGGCTGAGATCAGGAGGATCATGGTTTGAGGCCTGCCTGGGCAAATAGTTCTTGAGACTCCATCTCCAAAATAACCAGAGGAAAATGGACTGGAGGTGTGGCTCAAATGGTAGCAAACCTGCTTGCAGCCATGAAGCCCTGAGTTCAAACCTCAGTTCCACCAAAAGAGAAAAAAATAAGTCTGTTTAAAAGCCCATTTTACCAGTTTTCTTTCTAGTTTTCAAATGTGGATGCTTGGGTCTGGGCGTCAGTAGTAGAGCTCTTGTGTAGCATGCACGATGCCTGTGGTTCCATCTCCAGCACCCACAGAAGGACGGACGGACAGATATGTTAGATATGTACTAGAGAATCTGAAGTGATGGAGGCCACTCCACTCTGTTCCCATGGACAGCCTAGCTGCACAGAGGGCTTTTTATAAATTGGCTTTGCACCCATCTGTTTGCACATGGTCTCTGACAGATCTTACACCACATGTGGTTCTAGCCAACACTGGCTCTATCGAACCAAACCATCTGGCCCTTTACAGAGAAAGTTTGCTGAGCCCCAGTGGTTTTAAGTGTGGCGTGTGTGTGCGCGTGAGTGTTGCTGGGGATGAGCCCAGGGCCTCGTGCATGCTAGGCAAGCGCTCACCACTGAGCTACACCCCCGTTCTCCTTTGAGTATCACACATATGAGAGCATGAATTCTTATTTCCCATTGATAGTTTTATTAATTTATCTAATTATTTCATATAGCTACTAATGTATTCATATAGGCATATGACTGTATTTTGTTTCCATGTGTTTATATATGAACACGTTTGTTTATCATACATATGTTTGGGGATTTTTGGCAGTACTGGGATTTGAACTCGGGGCCTCAAGCTTGCTAGGCAGGTGCTCTACCAGTTCAGCCACTCTGCCACCCCATAAATTTGTTAGGCTCTTTCTATCCATGGGTTAAATACCTACAGGTTCCACCAACTTTAATGGAAAATATTCCCCCCCTGGGCCAGGCATGGTAGGGCACATCTATAATCCCAGCACTTGAGAGGCTGAGGCGAGAGGATCATGAGATCAAGGCCAGCCTAGATTACATAGCAAGACTCTGTCCCATATCACTCCATCTGGCTAAAAAAAGGGACAAAATATTCCTCTCAAAATTGTATCAATACTAAACATGTACAGGTGTTTTTTGTAGTTCCCTAAACAGTTCAGTGTAACTACATACACAGCACTTGTACTACTGACCACGAGTCACCTAGAGATGAGATGATTTAAAGTCTACAGAGGGCACACATAGGGTACATGGAAATACGATGCCATTTCACCAGGTGTGGTGGTGCATGCCTGTAATCCCAGCATTCAGGACACTGAGGCAGGAGGATAGTGAATTCAAGGCCAGCCTGGGCTACCTAGCAAGAGACTGTCTCAAAAAATGTATATGCTATGCATTTTATATATAAGGGACTTCCTTGAGCATCTCTGGATTTGGGTCAGCAAGGGAACAATCCCCTCTGGTACCCAGGGGAAACTCCTTGTCATATAATTTTTCATTTTGTTTTTACAATGCTGGGGATTGAACCCATGGCCTTGAGCATGCCAGGCAAGCACTGTTCACACACACACACACACACACACACACACACACACACACACCCCTTTTGGGGTTTTGGGTGTCATGTAGCCCAGGCTGACCTCAAACTCGTGATCCTCCTGCCTCTGCTTCCTGAGTAGCTGGGATTACATGTACACCACTCCTGACTTACGTGAATGTCATCACGTGGGCTGGGTGCAGCTCAGTGGCAGAGCACTTAACCTAGCACCATGAGGTTCCGGGTTCCATCCTGAGCACCACGAAAGAAAGAAAGAGAATTAATAACTAAAGGCATGTCTGTGGAACGCTGCTCTCCCTGGCCTCCGCCCTGCAGGAGGAGTACCAGAGCGAGGGCATCGCGTGGCATAACATTGACTACACCGACAATGTGGGCTGCATCCGCCTCATCAGTAAGAAGCCCACCGGCCTCTTCCACCTGCTGGACGAGGAGAGCAAGTGAGTGCCCCACCCACCCCCGCACGCCATCTGTCCCCCAGGTGGCACCTGGCCCATCCACAACACAGGGCTCCTCACTTTCCATGCTCACTGCACCCCAATCCTGAGCCTCGTGTTCACAGAGTGCACGTACAACTCACTACAGAAACACCAGTGTGGTGACTCGCCCATACACGCCGAAACCCATGGCCCGCCCTGGGAGCTGTCAGCAAGCGCTGCTCACCTGTGGCCCTGAAACTGCAAACAGGGCTGGCACCACGCTTGCAAAAGCAGCAGAACACATGGAGTCAGGCCCAGCCGCTGCCGCCTGGCTGTGAGCCTCGCACCCATCGCCCACAAGGTCCCCGGGAAGGGCTGTCACTCAGCTGCAGGCACTGAAATCGGGACAGCAGTTGGTTTCCTGTCCTGCCCTAGTGAGTAGCTGCAGGGCAGGTGCCCAAAGTCAAGGTGTTGGTGGCGTGTCAGCATTCCCTCGCTGTGACAAGTACCTGGCACAGACAACCTCAAGGGAGGCCAGGTTGATTTCGATTGGCAGTTTCGTAGTTTCTCGTGGTGGTCGCCGGCCTGTTGCTTTGGGCCTGTGGTGAGGCAGAGCATCATGGCAGGCGCACGTGGTGGAGGTGAAGGAAGTGACTCACCGAATGGTTGTCAAGAAGCAAAGACGGAGGAAAGGGCAGAATCCCCATGTCCCCCTCAAGGCCACGCCCCCCCATGACATAACTTCTTGTCACTAGGCCCACCCTCTTTTTATTTCCTTTTGGTGGTGGTGTCACTGGGGTTTGAATTCAGGGACTGTCACTTGCTAAGCAGGTGCTCTACCACTTAAGCCAGGCCCCCAGCCCTTAGGCCCTACCTCTTAAAGTTTCCTCCACCTCCCAATAGAGCTGCAGACTGAGGCCAAGCCATTACCATCCAGGCCTTTGGAGGACATTAAAAATCCAAAGCGTAAGAGGCCAGGCCCCTCTGTCTTTGCAGCTTCTAGGACAGGATCATTCCTAGCTCTCCAGCCTCTGGCCACGCCTTGGCTTGTGGCCAAATCACTCTGGTCTCTGGCCTGCTTCTCTGTGTGTGTCTGTCTCTCTGTCCCATCTCCTTTGCCAGGAAGGACATTAGTCATATAGGACGAGGACCTTATCTGATGGTAGATGAAGACCCTATTCCAAATAAGGTGAAGACATGTACACACCTTTCAGTGGCTCCTCTGTGTCTCAAACCAAGTCTGCACTGAGGACAGGACATACACGTCCCCTTGCTGCCATAGTCCAAGAGAACGTGGGGAAAAGGAAAGAGCCGGGCAGGCTGGGGTGCAGTTCAGTGGTGAGTGCTTGCCTAGGATTGCAAGGCCCTGGGTTCCAGAGAAAAGAGGCTGAGTGCCTGGAGGAGATTCACCGTCACAATGTAGAAACGTCCAGGACCTGTGAGGCAGGGCCAGGCTGAGCAGCTCTAGCTCCGTGTTTAAAATTTTCAGGCTGTACTGGAGCCTTTCTGAGGCACTTGCTAGGCTGGAGCTCTACTACGTGAGCTACTTCCCCAGCCCTAAAACTTTGCTTTTTCTTTTTATCAAGGAATTATTTTTCCTGCATGTTAATTTGGATTTTCTAAACTAGCACATGACTATGTTATTTATCTTGAGAACTAAGTGTTTCGGTGCCCAAGGCAGTGCCTCACCCCATACCCTTTTCTCAGCCCTGGAAGTGAGGGTCCCCAGCTGTGGAATCTCCCCCGCTCCTCCCATCCCTGCAAAGCCGTGGAGCCCCAGCGCTGAACATTTGGCACACCCATGCCACTGCCTGTATTTGCGGCGAGGCCGGGAACAGGGAGGGTGTGCCAAAGCCAAGGGCAGCATTTCCCTCATGGCAGGCAGAAATAGCCAGGTACAAGGAGTCCCTTATTCTGTCCTGGTCTCCTCCCTCCCAGGGCAGGACAGAGCCCGGCTTCCTCCCAGATCCCAGCCTCCCCCACCATCTGGGGAGCAGGAGCAAGACACCCCCTCCTGGGCACACTTCTAGGTGCGAATGCATCCATGTGCAATCCCAGGCTGGAGTGGCAAGGCCAGCAGCCAGTACAGTGTAAGGTTGTTCTAGAACCTGTTCTAGAGCCTGGGCCCAGGTCCAAGGCTGGCCTGGGACAGATGTTCACAGATGCCACCAAACCTGGTCAGTGGGCAGCCCCCCAGAAAACAGCTGTGTAGAGGAGAAGAGGAGGGCCCCTTGGCACCTGTGCTACGCTAATGACCCTGTGGTCCTGAGTGCGTCACCTGACCCTTACTTAGCAGGTGTGGCTGCTCACGCACACGGTCACTCCGAGGCCCTGGGCCAGTGCCCTCAGCACATGGCAAGAAATTGGTGGCCACTTGCTCATTCTCTCCTTTGCATATGCATCCATCCTTCGCCACTTCCTTCCAGGGGACGCCTTGTGGCCCTCTCTGTGAGACACTAAGCTTATGCCAAGGTTCCTGTTCCCTCCCCAGCTTCCCTCACGCCACCAGCCAGACCCTGCTGGCCAAGTTCAAGCAGCAGCACGAGGACAACAAATACTTCCTGGGCACCCCAGTCCTGGAGCCCGCCTTCATCATCCAGCACTTCGCAGGGAAGGTGAAATACCAGATCAAGGTAGGCGCCGCCCGCACAGCCACGGCAGCCCCGAAGCGGGAAAGCAGCCAGGGTCGCTCCCGTGCTCGGTTTGGGATCTTCTCCATGTTCGCACCCAGCAAGGTTTGGGGACACTCAGACCTGCCCGAGCCCCCCTGGGCAAGGCCTTTGAAGGCAGGACTGGCGGTGTGTTCTCAGGGCAGCCCCGTCCCCTGCCACCAGCCCTCTCAGGCCAGCCGCTGTGCTCAGGTGGGCACCGTTGAGTGACCGCCACACTGTCCCCTCCCCTCCCTTCCTCCCAGGACTTCCGGGAGAAGAACATGGACTACATGCGGCCAGACATCGTGGCCCTTCTGCGTGGCAGCGACAGCTCCTACGTGCGCGAGCTCATCGGGATGGACCCTGTGGCCGTGTTCCGCTGGGCTGTGCTGCGGGCTGCCATCCGCGCCATGGCCGTGTTGCGGGAGGCCGGGCGCCTGCGGGCCGAGAGGGCCGAGAAGGCCGCAGGTAGGGGACAGGGGCTGCTGCTCCTATCCGAGTACCACGCCCCCCCAAAGCAGCACAGTTGAGAAGGGGGCATTCCGAGTCTATCGTAGACAGGGAAGTCAAATTCACAGGGTTTTATAACCTCTGTCACTAGCTGGTTCCAGAACTGTTCAAAGTCTGAGGGCCAGTTGTGGTGGCACCCGCCTGTAATCCCAGCCACACAGGAGGCACAGGCAAGAGGATGGCTGTCCAGGCCAGCCTGGGCAAGAATGCGAGACCTTGTCTGAAAAACAATTAAAGCCAAAAAGGGTTGTGGACATGGCTGGTGGTAGAGCACCAGCGTGCTGCTCAGTACCCTCAAAACAAAAAGCATCTGTATGTGTTCAGTACAGTTTCGTTTTGTTTTTTCTGGTATTGGGGCCTGAACTTGGGGCCTAATGCTTCGAGCCATTCCACCAGTCCTTTTTTTGTGGTGGATTTTTTGAGATAGGATCTCATGAACTGTTGGCCCAGGCTGGCTTCGAACCGTGATCTTGGTCTGCGGTTGGTTGAATCCAAGCATGCAGATCCCATGGGCACTGGGAGGGCCAGCTGTGCCAGGGCCAGGATCAGATGGCAGAAGGCCATGGCCTTGTTTTTCCTGGGAAGACCCTGAGGCTTGTGTGCTTGAGTGGCTCCAACCTTCCGCTCCTCGGCTATCAGCTGGAGGCTCCCCTCTTATGAAGGGCCTTACCAAGAGGAGGAAAATGGTGCTCGCTCATGGAGGCGAAAGATCAGTTTCCACACTTTGCCCAAATTTGAGTTGGGTTTATAAGATGAGTTCAAGACGACTAGGGTTTGGTTCAGGGGTAGAGCATTTGCCTGACCCTGGATTCCATACCCAGCACCTCAGAAAAAACAGTAACAAAACAGGTTAAAAAAAAAGAAATTGTGGCAAGCCAGGCTTGAGGGTGCATACCTGTAATTCCAGCCACTGGGGAGGTAGAGGCAGAAAGATCTCGAGTTTTTTGAGGCCCGCTCTGGCAAGGGTAGTGATAAGACTCTGTCTCAAAACCCAAAATACAAACAAAAGGGTCTGGGGTGTGACTCAGGGGAAGAGCACCTACCTAGCACGTTCAAGGCCCTGATTTCACTGTCCAGTAGTGCAGGGGGATTAAAAAAAGAAGAAAGAAAAGAAATAATGTCAGCCTCCGCAGAGAAGACAAGACCCATCAGGCTCTGGGAGGCTGTCCCAAGCAGTGTCCATCCACTCTGTCCCCAGCAGATATGGGTAGCCCTGGCGCCCGAGGTCACCTGGGAGAGCTGCCAAGAGGAGCCAGCACCCCGTCTGAAAAACTCTACCGGTGAGCGAGACCTTGATTTGCCAACCCGAGGCTGATAGACAGTGGTATTGTTGAAAGCTACTTGGGAAACACTACACCCTGAACCCAGGTCAAGGTTATCTTGAATAAGTCATCGAGCAGCCATTTGAACCAAAAAAACCAGGACAGAAAGGCATTTGGTTGCTACTTCTCTGCACACAGAATGGCAAGGCCCAGTGTGTCACCTGCCATAGGGAGACAGCACAGAGCTCACAGCTGCTGGCAAACATTGGTGGTAGAGCCAAGGGACGTGGGGAAGAGTCCTTCCTGGCTGGGGGTGCAGCTCAGGGGCAGAGCCCTTGCTGAGCGTGCACGGGGCCCTGGTTCATCCCTAGCACTGCAGAAAGGAAGAAAAGAAAGAAAGGCTATTCTTTCTTTACCCTGCCCAGAGGTCTTGCTCAAGTATTTCATTCACAGTTGGAAACACATAGTCCTGTGGCTGTGTATCAGATGTCACAGGGTATTTTGTGACCCCAGCAGTGACCAGAGGCATTCCACTTGCCCCAGGGAGGGCATAAAAATTAGTAGGCACTCAGCATATGGGATACTCAAGGCCACATTGGATAGAACATCCAGAGCAGTGAAAAAAGGTCAGAATTGCTTCCAGCAGCCCATGAGAGCAGGGTGGGGTACATCAAGAAAGTGACCCTTGGGGCTGGGGGCATTGGCTCAAGTAGTAGAGCGCCTGCCTACCAAATGCAAGGTCCTGAGTTCAAACCCCAGTGCTGCCCCCAAAAAAGAAAAAGGAAATTAAAAAAGGGTCTCCCTGAGCCAGGCTCATTGGGAGGTTGAGACAGAAGAATCACTTGAGCTCAGGAGACTACCCTAGGCAACACAGTGCGACCACAACTTAGAGAGAGAGAAAGGGACCCTTTGAGCCAGATGGGGAAGGCAGGCAGGGTGAGGAGGGCCACACGTGCAAGGGCCCTGGGGCAGCCCAGTCTGACTTCATTCTCGCAAATTCCCAAGGAAGGAGTCCCTAAACTTTCAACTGTGAGAAAGTCGTTTCGCTTTCGAGTCCATTGTGACAAAAACTTCAGGGAATTTATAAAAGTGTGTCAATGGGGGTAGAGCTAGCAGCTACTTAAGTGATTATATATTTTTTGCCTAGAAGCACAGTCTACTACCTTCTTTCCTGCTTTTAAAAAGGTGTTTTGACTGGTCATGGTGGCACATGCTTGTAATCCCAGCACTTGGGATGCTAAGACAGGAGGATGGTGAGTTCCAAACCAGCCTGGGGTACATCACAGTGAGACCTTGTCTCAGAAAAAAGAAAAAAAAAACAAGAAAGAAAGAAAATAGACTTTTTTCACTCAAAAGGGACCAAAGAAAGGAGAACGCATCCTTCCATGTGCTCCTTTGGGTTTTTTCTTTTCCCTTCCTTTTCCGTGAACAGTGGCCTGTGACCCGCAGTACAGTGCTCTTGTCCCCTGGCCTGGGTCCCAGCCTGAGCACACCAAGTTTATACAGCTTCTCCCTTGCAGCTGCTCTATGCTAGATTTCTCATTTGACTGCTCTGAGGAGTTCGATATTAACGCTTTTGAGGACATCATTGCTTTCTATGAAAGTAAGAAGTAAGTAGAACCCTAGACCAGGGAGGCACAGCTAGAGAAGCCGCCGTCCGAGCCGTCAGGGCAGTGGCCGGGGCTAGGACACGGGATCGGCAGTCCTGGGCCCACCCGGCGCCCCTGCCAGGTTTGGCCAGGTCAGAGGGGACAAGGGGTGAGGCAAGCCAAGAGCCTCTTTCCTAGCCACGGCCGCTGCACTGAGTGCTCAGATAAATGTGGAGGACGGTCAGAGTAGCAGCCAAGTATAACCTTGTGTTATTTTTACCCTGTGCCTCCCTGGAGGGCGAGGGAGCGGAGGTAAGTCACTGTCCATCCGGGCACTTGTCATGGTGCATGAAACACAGATGAGGGGCAGCCGATCGGGGGCGTCCTTCCAGGCCAACTGCCCAGAGATTAAACATGGATTTTGATTGACAGGAGGCTGGGGGCACGGCTCAGTGGTAGAGTGCTTGCTTAGCATATGCAAGGCCCTGGGTTCCATCCCCAGCACTGCCAAAACACAACTAAAAAAAGCGAGTAAAACTGAATCATTTCGGGGGCCACTCTCCCCTAGCACTGGGGTCTCAACCTCGGCTCTATGCCGGGCTGACCTCTGCAGTGTGGACCATGCTGTGAACAAAGGGCGTAGAGCCATATCCACAGTGTCCACCCTCCACATCCTCAGCACACCCCGCCCGCAGTCATGACAACCACAGATGTCTCCAGACATCGTCACACATCCCCCGGGGAGAAAGAGGCAGTGCTGTGTTAAACTCGTGGCTTGAGTATTTTGAACTCATTGTTTATGAGGCCAACAGGGAGGTTGACATCTGGCCACAGGATTGTGGAGGAAACTGGCTCCGTCTTCCCTTGGAGGCCTGGCAGCACCTTGCTGTTTTCTGCTGGTCCCCAAAGGGTCTTAAATACGAGGTCTTTTTCAGTGATCCCACAGACCATGTTGCAAGTCCATGTTCCCTAGGGCTTGGGGACAGTGGCCACCCCTGGCCAAGTTCCCTTCCTGGTGAAAGAGACAGCAGCCATGCCCAGCCTGGCATCGCCCCCCCACACCCTCCTGCATGTTTCGGCTCCAGTGGCCTGGAGACTCCCCGATCGGTGCTGGGGACCCGAGGTGGTGGGCCTGCATCTCTAACTCTGTCTTCTCTCTGTCACTGGGTCCCCCTCCTGCCCTCAGAGATTTGCATAACCAAATCATCAAGAGCATCAAAGGACTTCCTTGGCAGGGCGAGGACCCCCGTAGGCTTCTCCAATCCCTCAGTCGCCTCCAGAAACCCCGCGCCTTCGTTCTGTGAGTCCCCCGGGTCCTGCAAGTGCAACAGTGCAACAGCCGCCTCCGCCCGCCCGCCCGGCAGCCCCCGCCTTCCCCTAAACCTCTGCGCTGCCTTGGGGTTTTGTTCTCATGCCAGCCATCGCTAAAGGGCTCCTTGATACCTGACCCGTGTTTGCAGCTTTGGGGGATGCTCCCCCGTAGGGCATCTTGTTTCTGACCCTAAGCGTGCCCTCTGCACCCGTTCTGCCTTGTAGAGCAAAAGCTTGCTCCACCCGCCTGCCTTTGGCATCCTGAGCTGTAGAGAGCCATCAGAAGCCCAGAGCCATGAGTCATCTTGAGCCCTGGCCCCTAGGGGACCAGGCAGAAGGGCTCAGAAGGTGCACAGGCTGGGTTTGGATCTCACTCACTCATTCTCACTCACTCTCGCTCTCCCCCTGTGGCCTGAGTACTACCAGGTCTCCTCCCTCTGCAAAACAGGGCGATGGCTCCCAGACCCCCAGGCGCTAACCCAGCACCAGGCAGGCGCAGCCTCAGCCAGTCCCGGGGCACCATAGTCACCAGCAGCTGAGGGTGGCACTTGCACTCACATGACCCAGGATTTTGGTTCTTTTTTTTTTTTTTTTTTTTGTTATTCTAATGACGGGATCGCAGTATATAAACCCCCATGCTGGCTTCAAACTCCTGGGCTCAGGCTTTCCTCCTGCCTCAGCCTCCTAAGTGCTGGGATTACAGGTGTGTACCCCCACACCCGGCAGGAGCTGGCTTTTAACATCTGTTTTTGTGCTGCCCTATTTTACCACCTGGATTAAGATGAAAAGCTAACAGCCTCACAGCATCTCACAGATCCAGGAGCACCATCCCCTCAGCCGGTGTTAAAAGGAGGCGACCCAACTGAATGGCCACACCTGTGATCCCAGCGCTAGAGAGGCTGAGGGAGGAGGGTCACATGTTCTAGGCCATCCTGGGCTACACAGCAAGATCCTTTCTCAAAAAAAAAAACAAGAAGATTCCATAAAGTGAGAACACGAACCGCCCGCCCTCCCTGAGACAAAAGATTCAGCTTTCATTTTTCTTTTCCACCACTGTGAGTCCAAAAGGAGCTGCTAGGTCTGGTGGTGCAGCTCAGGTAGAGGTGGTGGAACCCCTCGCAGGCCTGGGGTTCCATCTCCAGCACCACTAACAAAAATTATAAATTAAATACAAGGAGCTTCCCCTTCCTCCCAAGGCCCCATGTCAATAGTTCTTTCCAGGACAAGTCTCAGTTCTGCCAGTGGCAAGTTTCAGAAAGGGACTTGGCGTAGCCAGTAGGCTGTGCTGCATTCCCTCGCTAGCACCGGGACAACTCAGGGCCTCTCAGCACCCGTTTTGGAGGTATTGTAATTTGAACTCAGGGCCTCAATGTTGCCTTTGTTATTTTGTGATAGGGTCTCTCGTTTTTGCCCAGGGCTATCCTCAGACCTTGATCCTCTTCCCTATGGTCTCCTTGTGAATGGAATGCCAGGCATGCACCACCATGCCCGGCTTATTGACTGAGACGGGGTTTTGCTGACTTTTTGCCCTGGCTGGCCTCGAACCGAGATCCTCCTGATCTCTGCCTCTCGAGTTGCTGGAATTGCAGGTGTGAGCCACTGCACCCAGCCTTCAATGCCCGTTACTTATTGACACGTGTCAGTTGCTTCACAGCAGGCCTGCCTCCATGCGTGTCCTACCCTGTGGACTGCAAGCTGCCCCAGGGCATCCAAATGCCCCAAACCACATGCTCACCTCACGTCCGCTTGGGGGCAGCCCCAGCAGAGTCCCTGCCCCAGGAAGCTAGAGCACACAGTCGCTGAGCCCATGTCGGGCGGCAGGCAGGGGCCACTGGGTCTCGGGAGAGGCGGTGGCGGCCACTGGGTTGCACTTGTGCGCTTGGTCACTGTTCTGTCCTTCCTCTCCTCTCTCTCTCTCTCTCTCTCTCTCTCTCTCTCTCTCTCTCTCTCGATCTAACCCGCCAGGCGTGGCTTGCTGAACTAACCCAACCCCTCACACCATGTTCGTTTTGTTCACAAACCCATTTTTAATATTTTGACAGGAAGAGTAAAGGTGTCAAACAAAAGCAGGTCATCCCAAAGGTAAAGCCCGTGCGACACGGTCACAGATGCCTACTCAAGAGTGCCCCTCTCGGGCCATTCAAATAGCGGGCGGAGGGGAACTTCTGGGGCGTCTTTCATTCCTTCCTCCCGTCCTACCATCTGTCCTTCCCTTCAAAAAAAAAACTTAGGGGTTCAAGTGGTAAAGTGCCTGCCAAGCAAGCGTGAGGCCCCGAGTTCACAACCCCAGTACCACCAAAAAATGTCATGGTGAAATGACTTGGAGGTGTCTGCTGAGGTTTCTAGAAGTAGACCTGAGGCGGGGGTATTTGCACAGGCTGGGGGCTGGAGGGAGCTGGGAGGAGACAGGGGAAGGGTGAGGTCGGTAGCCAGGCCCCACTCAGCTGAAGTCAGTGTTTGATCTGGTCATGGGAGGGTCAGGAGCACCCCAGAGTATGTCCTCACACGGCAGTGGATCCCGTCTCTACCTGACGTTAGACAGTCACTGGCTGTAGGCTGGCTCTTTAGGACAGGATGGGACAAAGCCCTCCTGGGCTGTGTTTCTCATTCCATGTATGGCTGTCCCTCCGTATCCAGGGACCGGCTCAGGACACCAGTGTCTGCAGGAGCTTGTACGCCGTCTCTGTCCCCGTACACCTTATGTCACGTCTAGATGACGTAGAATACCTGATACAATGTGAATCTGGGGGCACATAGTTGTTACACAGTATTGCCTAGGGAATCAGGACAAAAAAAAAGTATAGCCAGGTGTGATCGTGCACACCTATAATCCCAGCACTCTGGAGGCTGAGGCAGGAGGATTGCGAGTTCAAGGCCACCTTGGACTACATAGAGAGACCCAGTCTCAACAATTCTTAAAAAAAAAAAAATCTGTACATTTTCCGTACAGATAGAATGTTTCTTGAATACAAGCGAATGCCCCTTATCTGAAATTCTTAGAACGAGAAGCATCTCAAAATTTAGAATTTTTTAAGGATTTTGAAATGTTTGCATATATGTAATAAAATGTCTTAGGCATTGGGCCCCAATCTAGATATGAAATTTCATTTGTGGCTCATGTAAACGTTAGTCACCTAACCTAAAGGTAGATCATACAATACTTTTAATAATTTTATGCATGAAACAGTTCATGGTGTGGTACTTTCTCCTTGTGGCATATTGGGGGGGTGCTCAAAAACTTTCAGATTGGCTGGGCATGGTGGTGCACACCTGTAATCCCACCACTCAGGAGGCGGAGGCTGGAGGATCAAGAGTTCCAGGCCAGCCTGAGCTATATAGTGAGACTGTGTGAAAACAACAAATAAATAAAAAGCTTCAGATTTGGGAGCTTTTGGGATTTTCAGATCAGAGATACTTGGCCTACATTTCCAATGCAAGGCTGGTGGAGTCCGCAAACGCAGAACCCTTAAATCTAGAGGGCTGGCTGTGCAATGCATGGTGTGCCAAGTTCACAAGATGTAAAACAGCCCTCGGTGTAGGCGGCAGCCAGGACGGGGCTGGCCCTGTCTGCGGCCAGCACTGGCTGGCACGTGGGGGCCCCCAGGTGGATGAGCTCACCAGGCAGGCTTCCCTGCAGGGAGAGAGGACGCGGTGTCTCTTGGTTTGGGGCCCTTCATAGTGACACCGGGCAGAGGGAGGGCCAGACTGGTAACACTGTCAATGCAGAGCAAAGGGCGTGGCAGGCACTTGGGCCATAAAACAGGCCATCCTTTGTCCTATGGAGCCAGCGCCACCTGCAGGGAACATCCAGGCTGGGTGTGTACGGTTCAGCAGACTCATAGTTCTGTGACCCGTTAAGAGCCTAGGGCGCTCGTGTGGGCTGCGGGAGGGCTGGTCAGACCCCATGTGTCTGTTCTAGAACCTGCTGGACTCCAAGTCCCTGAAGCTTATCATCAACATGACCCTGCATGACCGCACCACCAAGTCCCTGCTGCACCTGCACAAGAAGAAGAAGCCACCCAGCATCAGCGCCCAGTTCCAGGTGGGTGCCAGAAGGGCAGTACAGACCGCTGGCCGTGCCCTAGGGGCATTTACCACTGCACACCAGGAGCACCAGTGAGGCCATCACTGCGCAGGGAGTGAGCTCACCCCTAGCTGACAGCCACTGAGTCAAAAGCATCATGACTTCATGTGTTACTTAACCAAACCACTGAGTTGGCTCCTTAGGGCATGCTTTCCTTATGTCCCTGGCTGTCAAGAAGCTTGGGGACAATTTTTCTTGGATGGGGGACAGGGAGTCCATAAGCTGCTACTCCTTACCGTTAGCTTTCTCAGCCCTCGCCTTTTCCTTCTGTTCTCACCTCAGCCCTTTGGATAACCATGTCACATGGGAGCGCCTAAATTTATTGTTTGTGGTGGTAGAGATTGAACCCAGAGCCTACCACTAAGCCGTATTCCTGTTCTTGAAAACACAGGCAAGGGCCGAGTGCGGTGGTTCACAGCTGTAATCCCAGCTACTCAGGAGACAAAGGTCAGGAGGATCGAGATTCAGTGCTAGCCCAGACAAAAAAAATCAGCATGAGCTGAGGTCTGGTGGCTCACGCCTATAATCCCAGCTACTCAGAAGGCAGAGGTCAGGAGGATTGCTGTTCGAAACCAGCCAGGCAAATAGTTCACGAGACCCTATCAAAAAAAAAAAAAAAAATCACAAAAAAGGACTGGTAGAGTGGCTCAGGTTGTAGGCCCTGAGTTTAAACCCCAGTACCAGTACCACAATAATAAAATAGCTCAGTTAAATCCAGGAGTTCATCTGTTCCTGCCCTGGCCCCCACCTTTCAGAGTCCCCAGTGTATGCTCCTGGGGACCCTGCTCAGCCACACTTCTTTCTTCCCAGACGTCCCTCAACAAGCTCCTGGAGGCCCTGGGGAAGGCAGAGCCCTTCTTCATCCGTTGCATCCGTTCCAACGCCGAGAAGGTGAGTGGCAATGGCCTGTCCTGGACCCCAGGGACATCCCTGCATCCCAAGGGCTCTGCAGGGTAGGGCCCAGGTTGGGGGTGGGGGAGCACCATGGCCAACTCTGTCCTTCAGGTACACCCCAAGAGCAGCCAGTGAAAAGAGTGTGCTAGGAGTAGGGTGAGTCTCAAAGAAGCAGAGCGTACTGCTCATAAGGAAGTTTCTAAAAGGAGCACCAGTAGGGGCCCCAGCCTCACACTCAGTGCCAAGCTTCCTTCACCCCAAGGACTCTGTCCCCAGAAGGATGACTTGGGGACTTTGTGAGGCCACACAGGAACCTGGATCTCTCACAGACCTGAGTGGACATTCCAGCAAGAACCTCCCTGGGTCTTGCCCCTTTGTCCCTGGCTCTCCCCAGTGAGCCTCAGACTTCCAGAGCTTGGCTCCTCTCCCTGCTCAGAGCAGGGTCTCTCTGCTTCTGCCCTCTCTGTCCAGCACCCAGTCATGCTGGCCCCTAGGGAAGGCCTCCAGCCACCACCTGATGTGGGCAGAGCTGGTCCTCTCAGGCAGAACTTGCCTTGGGTGAGGGGCCACCCTGTGTGCTGCAGAGGGTCAGGCAGCATCCCAGCCTCCACGCACTCCCAGCCGTCACACCTGTCTGTTAACTCCTCAAGGTTAACAGGGTGTCAGCCCTCACCACCGGCCAAGGTGAAGTCCAGGCTCCTGAGCTGCAGGCTCGCACCACCGAGGCAGGCAGATGCTGGCCCTCGTCTCTCACCCTGGCCTTCCTCCTCCACCTCTGGCCGTCACCTGAATGCCCCCTGCCCCTCTCCTCCTCTTCAGGGATGCCCCCATGGGGCCCTAGGCAGCACCCATCCTGTAATACATTCATCTGGCTCCCACACCCAGGCCCAAATCCCAGCATTCACCTGTGCATGGCACAGAGTAGGAGCTGAGTGCAAGTCCGAGTTTTGGTCCATTGTGTAAGAGAAGTCTTTGCAGCAAATGAGGTTAGTCAGCAAGATGTAGCATCCACACCAGGTGTGGTGAGCCATGCCTGTAATCCCAGCACTGGGAAGGTGGAAGCAGGAGGATCACAGGGTCCCCGGGCTACATCGTGAGACCCTGTCTCAAAATAAAAAAAGCCACAGCCTCCGTCTGATGCCGAGAAAACAGAACAGGTCAGATACCAGGTTCTCCAGTGGAAGGCCTGCTATGGGTTCTCGGAGGCACCCAGCAGCCGTGCTGGGGGACGGTCACCCGGGGGTTGGCCCGCATCTCGCAGTTCCCCGCCCTGCACCAGCCACAAGCTTGGGGTCACGTCGGGCCTGGAGGGTGCCCTGAGGACGCGCATGCCCCTTTCAGAAAGAGCTGTGCTTCGACGACGAGCTGGTCCTGCAGCAGCTGCGCTACACCGGCATGCTGGAGACCGTGCGCATCCGGCGCTCAGGCTACAGCGCCAAGTACACCTTCCAGGTAGGCCGTGCGCACGCGCATGCGCACACGCCCACGCGGGCACGGTTACGCGCCCGGCAGGCAGAGCGCATGCGCACACCTGTGGTTTTCCCCCCCCCCCCCCCCCCCGCCTGCGAGATCAAGTGTGTGCTGTGTGTCTGTGAGACCGTCTAAGCTTGTCCAGGACTTCAAAGTTTTCACACCGTGACTCAGATACAGACCCGGGTTGCCGCAGTCACACGGCTGCAACTTTAGATTTGTAAACGCCGCTCACAGCAAACCAGGCTTCAGCCTCAAAGCTAGACTTGGGGCTGGGGGTGGCTCAGTGGTGAGTGCTGGTTTGGCATGCGTGAGGCCCTGGCTTCCATCCTCAGCACCGGAAACTTAAATAAATAAGTGAGCTAGGCTCGTCCAGGAAATCACTGACACGCTGTGCTCTTGTGGCTGCCAAAAATGCTCACATTGGTTCTCCTTTCTTGGGCCTCTAGGACTTCACGGAGCAATTTCAGGTACTGCTGCCCAAGGACGCCAAGCCCTGCAGAGAGGTCATCTCTGCGCTGCTGGAGAAGATGGCCATAGACAAGAGGAGCTACCAGATCGGAAAGACCAAGGTCAGCTCTCCGCCATCCACCCACAGCACACTCTAGAAAGCATAGGGCTCTTGCCCCAGCACGGTGGCTCACGCCTGTAATCCCAGCTACTCTGGAGGTGGAGAATGGGAATTTCAGGTTGGAGGCCAGCCTGGTCAAAAACTACTCCAGACCACGTCTCAATCAATGGCTGGGTGTGGTGGCAATGGCTGTCATCCCAGCTGCATGGGAAGGGTTAATAGGACGATTGCAGTCCAGACTAGCCAGGGCATAAACACAAGGACTGCATTGGAAAAAATACCTAAAGCCAAAGGGCTGGAGGTATGGCTCAAGTGGTAGAGTGCCTGCAAGGCACTGGGTTCAAACCCCCGTACTACATATATACATATTGGAGGAGGGGGAGGTCTTATAAAGAAAAGAGGTTTATTTAGCTCACATTTCTGCAGGTTTATAAGCGCACAATGCCTGCCTCTTTGCTGCTGTGGTAGGGACCTCACAGCACTGGCATTGCAATGGCAGAAATGCCTGTGAAAAACATTATCTACTGAGACGCAGGGTCAGGCTTGCTGTTTGATAACCACCCACTCTCAAGGGAATTAACCGGTCCCCTGAGATCCACATTAATCCCTTCCGAGGGCAGCAACCCTAGTGACCTGAGTTCTTTGCAGTAAGCCCCACTTCTTACAGGCCCCACCACCTCAGCACTCCCACTCTGGGGACCACGTGGTCAGCACATGAGACTTTCGGGGAAACCACAGCACAGTATGTGCCAGACTCCTTCGTGGTCTGTTTCGAAGATTGTCTCTGATGGGGAAATAGGGGCCTCGTAGCCTCTTGTTTTCTCTGTTTTGTGCAGTGTTGGGATGGAACACAGCCTTGCACATTATAGCCAAGTGCTCTACCGCCATCCCTGTTTAATGAGAACTGAGGTCAGCTCCCTGGAAGGCTTGTTTTTTTGTTTGGTTTTGGTGTTAGAGTTTGAACTCAGGGCCTCACGCTGCTAGGCAGGCACTGTACTACTTGAGCCACACTGAACACTTCGCTAGAGTTTGTTTTAGATAGTGTGTCATGCTTTTCCCAAGAATAACCTCATACCAGACCACAGTTCTCCTACCTCCACCTCCAGAGTAGCTGGGATTACAAGCATGCATCACCATTCCCTGCTGAAAGGGGGGGGGTTGTTTTTTTGTTTTGCAGTGCTGTGAATGGCACCCAGGGCCTTGTACATTCTAGACAAGAGCTCTACCACTGAGCCACATCCCAGGCCTTAAAGGCTGCCTTTGACACATACATACAATACATGTGCATGTATGTGAATATATGTATATGGGGGTATATAATATAAATAAGCCCCAGACTTGGGGTACATCTCAGAGCTCTTGCCTAGCAACTCCAGCATGGCAAAAATAAAAAGGATTCCCTTATCACTCTTCAGTAAGTTAATTGTAGACTTACTCTGCAACCCAGCAAGTTCATTCCTGGGTATGTGCCCAAGAGAATTGAAAACGGGTGACCCCCACAATCACTTACACACATGTGCTCATTCACAACATTACTCACGACAACCAAAAGGCAACAGCAGTCAGAATACCCATCAACAGATGACTGCGTAAGCAAGATGTGGTCCATCCATCCATCTCTCTAATGGAATATTACTCAGCCTTGAAAAGGAATAAAGCACTCACACTCTGCAGTGTGCGTGAACCTGCAAAATGGCAATGCTTAGTGACAGGAGCTAGACACTGCATGGTGTGTGACTGCATCGATCGGAAGCTTCCAGACCAGAGAGAGAAGCAGACTGGTGGCCGCCAGGGGCTGGGGAGGGAACTGGGGATTAGGGTCAGGGATGGAGGTGTAGGCAGTAGCTGCACAGTACAGTGAACATGTGAAATGCCACCAGATTGTTCAGCTGAAGAGTGGTGAGTTTTACACTCTGGGTTCTCCTTGAGTGCCCCAGCAGTGCTCGCTCAGGGCAGCCGCGCACGCCTCCTGGGCTGAGCATGGCCCCCACCCGCCTGCAGGTCTTCCTGAAGGAGACGGAGCGCCAGGCCCTGCAGGAGACGCTGCACCGGGAGGTCGTGCGTAAGATCCTACTGCTGCAGAGCTGTTTCCGCATGGTGCTGGAGCGCCGGCACTTCCTGCAGATGAGGCGGGCGGCCATCACCATCCAGGCCTGCTGGCGCTCCTACCGTGTGCGCCGCACGCTGGAGAGGACACAGGCCGCCGTGTACCTGCAGGCTGCCTGGAGGGGCTACAGGCAGCGCCAGGCCTACCGGCGCCACAGACAGAGCATCATCCGCCTGCAGAGCCTCTGCCGGGGGCACCTGCAGCGCAAGAAGTGAGTGAGCAGCCCATGCCCCGGATGTGCTGCAAGCCCAGGTCCTCGCCCAGGAGCTACCTGAGGGGCCATCCGGCCAGCAGAGCTATGGGATGGCACTGTGGAGGCAGGGCCTCGCACGTGCTAGGCAAGCCCTCAACTACTGAGCCGCACCCCCAGCCCTTTTTTTTGTATTTTGTTTTTGAGACAGAGTCTCACGATGTAGCCCAGGTTGGTCTGGAACTCTTGATCTTCCTGTCTCTGCCTCCCTGAGTAGCTGGGACTACAGGCATGCACCACCATGCCCAGCTTCCAGAACTATCTCTTAAAGGCCACTAGGCTGAGGCACAGGTCAGGGAGTCCTCACTGGACCTTGGCCTCCTTATTCTAGGGGCGTATGAATGTCTGCTACTGAACCAATCCTCTCTGCTTTGTCCTGTCACCAGCTTCAGTCAGATGGTCTCAGAGAAGCAGAAGGCTGAGGAACAAGAAAGAGAAGCCCAAGAGGCTGCCAGAGTGGAGGCCACAGAGGGTGGGCCAGGCCCCGTGACCATCGAAGAGCAGATGACCCAGCAGGGTTCAGAACTGGTAGAGGACAGCGAGCACTTGCTGTCAGAGTCTAAGGTATGGCTGAGCGACGGGTCCCCATCCGGGACTTCCCCAGCAGAGAAGGAGATGCCCAGCCCAGAAAAGGGACTCCCGTCCCAGAAAACCATGATGACCGAAAGTCACGAGAAAGTCCCCAGCAGCCGGGAGAAGCGGGAGTCACGTCGGCAGCGGGGACTGGAGCACGTGGAACTCCAGAACAAACACATCCAGTCCTGTAAGGAGGACAGCGCCCTCAGAGAACCGTCTGGAAGGACTGTCCCTGAGCCAGGGGAGAGCCTCCCAGAGGACAGAAAGGAGATCAGAGATGAAACCACAGGGACAGAAGCAGGTACAGAAACCACGGATGCTTCTGAAAAGCAGCCCGAGGAGACACCACAGACTGAGGTGGTCAGCATGGTCCCTGGAGAAACTGAGAAGGTGCCATCAAGCGAGAGCCCGGGGCCCAGCCACTTGCAGCGGCCGACCACCCTGGCCCTGGACAGTAGGGTTGTCCCGTCTGTCCCTGGCAGCACTCCTGAGACCCCTAAGGACAAGATCAAGGCAGGTGGCAGCTCAAGGGGTCAGGACAAGCTAGAGAGCCCCAGCAGCGCTGCCCAGATCCAGCGATACCAGCATCCAGACTCTGAGCGGCTGGCCACTGCCGTAGAACTGTGGCGGGGCAAGAAACTGATGGTCAGCAGCCCTGGTGCCATGCTCAGCCAGTCCCTGGACCTCAGCGACAGGCACCGGACCACGGGGGCTGCCCTCACACCCACAGAGTAAGCCTGCACCCTCTCTGAGGGCTGTGGACACCAGGCCAGGCGGGTGGACCAAGGCAGCACTGCACAGGCCAAAAATGTTGTCATTTGTGCCCAGCAAGTAGGCTGGGCCCTGCTGAAGAGGCAGCAAAAGGCTGGAAAAGTGAAGGCCAGAAAGAGGGGCCTCAGCCTGGGGACACCCCACTGGGTCCTGAGCCCTAAGGGCCCTGAATGAGCTGTGTGCCTTATAGGAGGTGGCCCTGCAGGTTGAGGTCCCCTCCTTGAGTTCCCCTGGGCCTCACTTTCTTCAGTAAATGAGGCTTATGACATTCGGCCAGGGGTTCGAGGGTGGCGGCTCTGCCTGACTCTTTGTAAGCTACATCTCAGCGACCCCTTTGCTAGCCCCTTGTCAGCACCTTGTCCTTTCCTGCCCTGCAGAGGGAAAGAAGTCCCCCATCAGGACAGAGCAGGGCTTCTCAGCTGATGCTGAGGGCCAGTTGTGGCCTGTGATGGACGCCCCGTGGGTTAGGGGGAGTGGAGCAGCAACCCGGCTGCTCAGCCAGCCTCCGGCAGCAGTGCAGCAGATAGATGATGGGTGGGTGGAGCAGCAGATGGGGAGGGTGCAGGGAGAGAAAATAAATATAGGTGGAAATGGGAAGTAGACATGGAGACAGAGAGTAGCGAGAGATAAAGCCATGCATGTGGCACACAGCTATAGTTCCAGTTACCCAGGAAGCTAAGCCTGGGAGTTCAAGACCAGCTTGGCCAACATTGGGAGACCCGATCTCTAAACGGGAGAGAGAGCTGTTGATGTTGGTGGTAGAGACATACGGCTAGGCAGGCAGATAGATGATACAAAGCTAGGTAGATACATAGGTAAGTAGATGGGTGGATGGATGGGTGGGATAGACCATCGGGTGGGTGAATAGATGGTGGGCAAATGGATAGATAGGTAATTAGATAAATGGACGGATGGACAGATAGACATATACACACACCTACATACGTAGAATGATAGATTGATGGATACATAGATAAGAGATCAAATAGATTGGATGAGTGGGTGGATGGATGGATGGGTGGATGGATGGATAAATGGATGGATGGATAAATGGATGGATGGGTGGATGGATGGGTGGATGGATGGGTGGATGGATGGGTGGGTGGGTGGGTGGATGGGTGTGGAGGTGGATGGATGGATGGATGGATGGATGGATGGAAATGGTGGGTGGGTGGGTGGGTGGGTGGGTGGATGGATAAGTGGGTGGGTGGGTGGGTGGATGAGACATGATAGAGGTAGATAAGTTGACAGACAGGTTTTCTCATGCCTAGGCACTGTCCACACTTGATGCCAGTGGCTAGATGGATGTGTTAGGCGACAGGTTTCAACACTACAGCTGGGTGATGTCCCCCGCTGTACCAGCACCTGGGACTGGATGGTTTTCTGGCTGGGCATTCCATGCATGGCAGGGTGTGGGGCAGGCTCCCTGGCTTCCACCCACCAGAGGCCAGAGACTCCCCCACCCCATCTCCAGACACCAATAGGTGTCCTGGGGAGGGGAAGGCAAAGCCACCCCCAGGAGAAATGTGGCACCAGGGCAAAAGAGCGTTGCTCACACTCTCTGTTTCTGTGATCGTGCAGGGAGAGGCGCATCTCCTTCTCTGCAGGCGATGTCTCCAAGGTATCTCCAGCCAAGGCACAGGTAAAGCTCACCTCCACCAGGCTGCCTGAGCTCTGTCAACACTGGGCTGCACCCCAGGCAGTTAAGAGCCACTGGGCATAATCCCAGCACTTAGAAAGCTGAGGCAGATCAAGAGTTTCAGGCCAACGTTGTGTCCATAGCAAAGCTGTGTCTCAAAAGAAGACATTAAAAAAAAAAAAACATAAATGGATTTGGGGGGCAGTGCACACAGTGGGGTCCCCTGATGTCCCCAGTGTGGGCCGCCTGCCTTCCTCACCTGACCTTCTTCTTGCACTGATCCCCTGCAGTCTTCAGCCGACACTGATGGGGAGCCAACCACCAAGAAACCAGCAGTCCACAAGAAGAAATCAGGCGATGCAGCTGCCGGCCCTGATGCAGGGCTGTCCCCAGGCTTCCAGGCTGACTCTAAGTAAGAAGGCTGGGGACTGCTTGGGGTCCCTGTTGAGGTCTGGCCTCCTAATCCAATAGCACTTACAAAGCACGATAGGGCAGGTGAGGCTCAGGAGAGGGCTGGTGGAGTGGCAAGCATCAGGCCCTAAGTTCAAACCCCAGTGCCTCCAAAGAAGAAAAGAAAAATTCCGTGAAGAGAAGCCCCAAGGGAAGGACCTCCCCAGAGCCTTCTTCAAAGTCACTCACTGAACTTACAAAGTCAAGGCTTGTGACCTCTTCCAACGCCAGAGTGACCACATCAGTGTGATGGTGCCCAAGGAAGCCTCAAGTCACCTAGGTCACCTCCCTTGGGTCCACAGACAGGTTTGTTTGGCTTTTTCTTTGTTTTTTTTTTAGTAGTACTAGGGTTTGAACTCAGGGCCTCACACTTGCTAGGCAGGTGCTCTACCACTTGAGCCCCTCTGCCAGCACTGTTTTGTATTAAGTATTTTCAAGATAGAGTCTTGTGAACTATTTGCCAGTGGCTGGCTTCAAACCTTGATCTTCCTGATCCCTGCCTCCTGAATAGTTAGGACTTCAGGCATGAGCCACTGGTGTTGGGCTGGTTTGGCTTTTTTTTTTTTTTTTTTTAATACATTAAAAATCAAAATCAGCTCCTGCCCAGGTGCTGGTGGCTTACACCTGTAATCCTAGCTACTCAGGAGGATCATGGTTCGAAGCCAGACCAGGCAAATAGTTGGAGAGACCCTATCTCAAAAAAAACCCTTCACCAAAAAGGGCTGGTGGAGTGACTCAAGGTGTAGGCCTGGAGTTCCAAGTCCTAATATTAAAAAAAAATGCTCCTAGCCACGTGTGGTAGTCCATGTCTATAATCCCAACTACTCAGGAGGTGGAGATAGGAAAATCATGATCTGGGGCCAGCCCAGGCAAAAGTTATCAGAACTTAGGCTGCCAGGCACCAGTGGCTCACACCTGTAATCCTAGCTACTCAGGAGGCACAGATCAGGAGGATCGAGGTTCAAAGCCAGCCTGGGCAAATAGTTTGTAAGACCCTATCTCGAAAACACCCATCACAAAAAAAGGGCTGTTGGAGTAGCTTAAGGTGTAGACCCTGGGTTCAAATCCCAGTACTACAACAACAACAACAACAAAAGGCATAACAGCACACACTTGTAATCAGCATTCAGGAGGTACAGGTAGGAGGATCTCAAATTTCAAAGCCAGGCTGAGCTACGTATACATACAGCAAGACCCTGACTTGTGAATAAAATCCAGCTCCTGTCTTCCTCCCCCCACCTCTGGAAACCCTTCTACATCCTCAGATCATAAAATCCAGACCAAGGGTCTGTTCCCAGGGGCCCTGCCAGAATTCTCCAGGTGGCTCGCTCCGAGAAGAGAGAATGGGCCGTGGGACAGGTGCACTTCAGTCCAAACTCAGGGCAAGTGATTAAGGAAGGCACAGATAGGATGGGCTCTCTAAGGATGGCAGACAGCAAGACCAGGGAGTACTCTGCAGAGAGACTCCATGATGTCACAAAACACCATGACCTGGGGGCTGATGAACAGGGATTTATCCTGTCACAGTGCCAGAGGCGCAAAGCCAGTTGTCAGCAGGACCATACTTCTCCTAAGGCTTTAGAGGGGTGTCTCTCCTTCAGCTTCTGGGGGCTCCAAGTTCCTCCCCCATGTTGAGGGAAGGGAGAGATGGAGGAGAGAAGGATGGAAACCAAGCTTTTACTCTCATCCACAGATCCACCTTTAAGAGACTTTTCCTACATAAAACCAAGGATAAAAAGTATAGCCTGGAGGGCGTGGAGGAGATGGAGAACACAGTGTCTGCGCAGGCTGTGCTGGAAGCCACCACCGGGAAGAAGAGTGTAGAAGGTTGGTCAGGCGAAGCCTTGGGTGGGTGGCAAGGGCTGCCCGTGTTGCATTTGTGGCCACTGACCAAGTACCACCTTGAGTTGGCCATGGGCTGAGCCCTGGACCCAGAGCTGGAGATTTCTGGTCGCAGACCAAGGTGCGTGATTTGGGGCCTGGTTCTCTGCATTTTTTTGTTTATTTGTTTGGTGGCACTTGGGTTTGAATTCAAGAGCTTCACGCTTGCTAGGCAGGTGCTCTACCACTTGAGCCACTCCAGCAGCCCTTTTTTGTGTTGGATTTTTTCAAGATAGGGTCTCACAAACTATTTTCCTGGGGCTGACTTTGAACCACGATCCTCCTGATCGTGCCTCCTGAGTAGCTAGGATTGCAGGCGTAGTCACCAGATCCTGGTTGGTTCTCTGCACTTCTGACTGTACCCCACAAGGCCAGCCAGCACCCTTTCCTGAACCCACCATCAATCCACAGCCTCCTCTGGCCACCAGCACCGCCACGCAGGGGGCGAGAAGCACAGCAAGGAGGCAGGCGGCAAGGGGAAGAGGAACCGGAACCTCAAGGTGGGCAAAATCACAGTGTCGGAGAAGTGGCGGGAGTCCGTGTTCCGCAAGATTACCAACGCCAACGAGCTCAAGTACCTGGACGAGTTCCTGCTCAACAAGGTGAGTGCAGGGTCCCTGGGCAAAACCCAGTTTCTGAGTTTCCCGAACTCCACGCTCTGCCCTAAGATCAGGAATGCAAAGCCATGCACAGCCATACCACTCCGAACGCACCCGATCTCCTCTCATCTCAGAAGCGAAGCAGGCTCGGGCCTGGTCAGTACTTGGATGGGAGCATTGCAAAGCCCAGGGCTGGAGGGCTGGGGTGTGGCTCAGGGCCTAGCACGCCCGAGGCCCTGGGTTCTGTCCCCAGTAAGTTCAAGAAACCTGCCTCACAGGGTGGCACACCTGTAATCCCAGCACTCAGGAGGCTAAGGCAGGAGGGTTTTGAGTTCCAGGCCAACCTCGTGAGACCCTGTGTGAAAATAGATAAACCTGTGGTTTTCGTTCAGGGGTGAGCCAGCCTCTAGTAGACGCCAGCAGTGGTGGGGGAGCATGGGGGACCTCCTGGCATCGGGTGGGTGGAGACGAGGGACCCAGGGACCCTGTCAGCATCCTCCAGTGCACCGGACAGAGCCGCCCCAGTTAAGCAGTAGCTTGCAGGGGTTGAAGGGTGCAGACATGAGGCGAGAGAGGGTTTAGGACAAGGCAGAAGTGACCGGCAGCATCCTCCAGCAAGGCAGGTCACCGGGCTCACTTGTCTCCTTCCAGATAAATGATCTGCGCTCCCAGAAGACGCCCATCGAGAGCTTGTTTATTGAAGCCACCGAGAAATTCAGAAGCAATATCAAGACCATGTACTCTGTCCCGGTACGTGGAGGCCCCATGCCCTGCCCCAGCCCATCCCCGCCACCAGGCTGCGGGGTGACGCCTTGCCTTCCTGCAGAACGGGAAGATCCACGTGGGCTACAAGGACCTGATGGAGAACTACCAGATCGTCGTCAACAACCTGGCCACCGAGCGCGGCGAGAAGGACACCAACCTGGTCCTCAACCTCTTCCAGTCCCTGCTGGACGAGTTCACGCGCAGCTACACCAAGAACGACTTCGAGCCTGCGAAGGTGGGTGGTTCCGCCGGCCACGCCCCCTGCGCGCCACGCCCACTCCTCCCGCCTCAGGCCCCGCCCCCAGCAGCACCTCCCTGGCCCGGGCTTGTCTTCTGCCTTGAGGCTCCAGATTGGGCCCGAGGTGGGCGTTAGGGTGCCCAGTGCTGCTTCAGGTGAGGGAGGAAACCAAGGTGCCCGAAAGCCTCCTGCCTCGTTTTGGGGGGCCCCTTGGGCAGCCAGGCAGACCAGGTGTCCCCACACGGATGTCACTTTGTGTCCCCACCAGCAGAGCAAAGCTCAGAAGAAGAAGCGGAAGCAGGACCGTGCGGTGAGTAGGCGTGCGTGTGTGTGCGGCTGTGACTGTTTCCATTGCGCACGCGTGTGTGCACGTGAGCGGGCCTTGTGGCCCAGCACCAGCCAGCCCCGTGGAGAATGAGCAGACCCCAACCCCCGAGGTGGGGCAGTGGGCCACGGAGACGGGGGCGGGGCGTCCACTCAGCCCCTCAGCCCACTCGCCCGCCCCGCAGGTCCAGGAGCACAACGGGCACGTGTTCGCCAGCTACCAGGTGAGCATCCCGCAGTCCTGCGAGCAGTGCCTCTCCTACATCTGGCTCATGGACAAGGCCCTGCTCTGCAGCGGTGAGTGCCACGCCCCCAGCTGCTCCCGCCCATCTCTGCAGCCGCCCACCTCACCCGTGTGAGCAAGCGTGGGTGGGCACTGCCTCCAGAGCTCTGTACAGGACGCTCCTGCAGCCTGACCCACCGTCCCTCCCCCCTCCTCGGCCCCTCCTCATCTCCACAGGCCAGCCAGTCAGCATTTTATTTTTTTGGCGGTTCTGGGGTTTGAACTTAAGGCCTAGAGCTTGCTAGGCAGGCACTCTACCATTTGAGCCAAGCCCCCAGACCCCCCCCCCTTCCTCAGAGATTTTGAGAGACAGATGTGACCAATTGGTCCCCTAGAGAACACCAAAACACAGGTGCAGCCCACAATGATAGAGCTTCCAGGTGGCCAAGCCAGGCCCCAGAGCCTCAGCACAGTCAGACAGACCCCCAAAGTCTCCTCCTTTCCCCTTGGCCCCATGCGAGCAGTCCCACCATCCTGGTCATCACTGTCCCCAGACGAGGGCTCAGGATCAAAGCCAGCCACCTTGCCTGGAGAAAGCTGGGTACCCCCACCCATTCTCTCCAAGAAAACTCAGCTTGATGTCAGTCTGAGTTCACTGTGACTGGAACAAACAAAAATGCCACTGTCGTGCACCAAGTCCCCAGGGCCACTTTCTGGCAGGACCACAACCCAGTTCCCCCAAAAGCCTGTTCTTTGTCCTGGTAGCCAGGCTGGGTCTATAGCCACTGACATCGCCAGCTGTGAAAAGCTGCCCACATGGCATCTTCTCGTGAGAATCCAATTTTGGGCCATGTAATCTTAAAAGGCAGTGGGGACTGGGATTGTGGCTCAAGTGTAGGGCACCAGCCTAGCTAAGCTCAAAGCACTAAGTTCACATCCCAGCTCTACCAAGTAGGGAGAGCTGGGGGTGTAAGTTGGTGGGAGAGCACTTGCCAAGCAAGCACAGGCCCTGACTTCCCTTCCCACCACTCCAAAAGTTAAGTAGCATTGGTGAGTGGGTGACCCCAGGTACACAGGGTCTCAGTGTACCCTCTGACATCCCCCACCTTGCGACCTCCCAGTATGCAAGATGACCTGCCACAAGAAGTGCGTACACAAGATTCAGAGCTACTGCTCCTACATGAGCGGGAAGAAGGTGAGTGTGCCCAAGCCTGGAACTCTCTAGAACTTTGTAGAACATACTTTCCAAGGCACCTGGTGTGGCGTTGAACAGGAGTGGACGGGAAGGTGGCAGGAGGGGCTGGACTTGGGTGTGCATCTCAGCATCTCACACCCCTCCTCTAAATCCTGTTTGTCCCTCCTGGGAGAGTCCTGTGCCAGCTAGAGGGAAGCCCCTCAGCTTTGTGCTAAAGGAGGGGTCCCAGTGAGGGGATGTGGGTGAGGAGCATTCTCCCTGGGGAGAAGCACCCAGCCCATGGAGGGAGCCCCTGTCCAGTGGCCATGGAGCTAACCTCCCAGCCAGGCACACCCAGCAGCTGTGCAAGAGAGGACGAAGGCAGGGAGGGCAGAGCCCACAGAGGTGGCCCTGTGGGACCAGGAGGGAGGCGTGAGCTCGGGCCTGACCCCGACCCCTGCACCTACAGGCTGAGCCAGGCGCAGAACCTGGACACTTCGGTGTGTGCGTGGGCAGCCTGACCAGTGACAAGGCCTCGGTGCCCATTGTGCTGGAGAAGCTCCTGGAACATGTGGAGATGCATGGCCTGTACACCGAGGGTCTCTACCGCAAGTCAGGCGCCGCCAACCGGACCCGGGAGCTGCGGCAGGCGCTGCAGACAGGTGGGTTGTGTGGGCAGGTGGCCCAGGGCTGGGCCCCACCAAGCATCCATCTGTGACATCTGCACCACTCATCACCCCTGCCCCACAGACCCTGCAGCGGTGAAGCTGGAGGACTTCCCCATCCACGCCATCACTGGTGTCCTGAAGCAGTGGCTGCGGGAGCTGCCCGAGCCCCTCATGACCTTCGCCCAGTATGGCGACTTCCTCCGTGCCGTCGGTGAGCCCTGCAGGCAGCAGGGGTGGCCCTAGTTAGGCGACAGCCAGGGCAAAGGGACGGGTCAGCCAGTTGCACCTGGGTCTCCTCTGGCCTCCTTTCATTCCTGCCATTTGCCCCACACGAAGGGCAGCTTCCCTGCACCCTGGCATCAGGAGGGAAGGGTGGCTCTGTGGGGGCCGATGGAGGTGACAGTCTCCACCTCCCTAGAGCTGCCTGAGAAGCAGGAGCAGCTGGCCGCCATCTACGCGGTCCTGGAGCACCTGCCTGAGGCCAACCACAACTCCCTGGAACGGCTTATCTTCCACCTGGTCAAGCAAGTGCCCCTGCCCTCCATTCGCCCCAGCAGGACACCCGGGCCACAGCCAGTGTTGGGGAGCCAGGGGGTGGCCAAGCCCACCAGGCTTCAGGGCCAGTTGGGGTCCTCTGTGTCCTCCCACTCTGGGCTGATGTGCTCTGTTCCCAGCAGCCTCTAAACCCCAGTCTTGCCTCCCCCACCTTGGCGTGGCTTCCCCCTAACTGTCTGTGGCCACACAGGGTGGCCCTGCTGGAGGATGTCAACCGCATGGCTCCCGGGGCGCTGGCTATCATCTTTGCACCCTGCCTCCTGCGCTGCCCCGACAACTCGGACCCGCTGACCAGCATGAAGGACGTCCTCAAGATCACCACGTGAGTGCGGGCTGCAGCTGTCCCCGACCCAGACACACCGCACTCAGTGCCCAACTGTGGACCTCGGGGACAAAACGAGCCCAGGACTGGTGGAGCGGTTCAAGTGCTAGAGCACCTGCCTAGCAAATGTGGGATCCTAAGTTCAAATCCCAGTACCACCAAAAACAAGAGAGAGAGTCCTCTAGAAACCCTGTGGCGTCTGCACTGTGATTGTGTGACTGCATCAAGAAAAGTCCAGAACTCTCGGAGTTCTGTCTGAGCCTTGGGCGCATAGATCTTCCTTTGGTTTCTTTGACACCGTTGACACACACACCCCACCTTCTTGGGGTTTTGTTTGTTTTTGTGATGAGGCCTGAGTTCAAGCCCCAGTACCACACACACATACAAAAAAAAAAAAACCCTCAGATGGTTAGTTTTTGGCTCTAAGTTAGGAAAATCACACTGTCACCCTAGGTGACAACGAAGAAGGCCCAAGAGGAAGGCCTCACATAGGTCCCCAAGCCAGGCTCATGGCTCCTGAGGAGCAGGGCCCCCAGGAGGTGTGGGGTACGGGTTGGCCTCGGTCCCTTCCAGCACGTTCTTTGGTCCTTTTTCTCTTACGTGGTCTTGATAGCAGGAGCCCTGCCTCTCTGTCCAGCCTGTTTCCTCCTCAGTCCCAGTACTGACTACTCGGAACTGAGTCCCCTGGTACTGGCCACTGCGTGCCGAGTCCCCCCGGTACTGACCAGTGGGCAGACAGGGTGCAGGTCAGACCTCATGTTCCGGGGACCCTGGGTCGGGCCAAGCCGAGCCTGCCCGGACCCCACACTCGAGTCTGAGGTGGGACAGTCCCAGCGGCCCGGTGACGGCTGCTCCACACAAGGCGGGCTCGGCTAGGAGTGGCGTGGGCGGCCTGCGTGGGGCCCTGGCCTTGTCCCCAGCTCGTCCCGTGGGTCCGCAGGTGCGTGGAGCTGCTCATCAAGGAGCAGATGAGGAAGTACAAGGTGAAGATGGAGGAGATCAGCCAGCTGGAGGCGGCGGAGAGCATCGCCTTCCGCAGGCTCTCGCTCCTGCGCCAGAGTGCTGTGAGCGCACGGGCCGGGTCTCTTCCGGGGGTCTGCCGCCGCTGCCGCCTGGCTTGGGGTCTCATGCCCACAGCAGACGGCAAAGATCACAGTCCCCGCTCGGCCTGATACCAGTCCCTCTCAGGGGACAGGAGAGCGGACCTGCCGCCCTCTTGGTACTTAAGGTCCAGCCGGGCCTCACCTAGCAACAGTGGCCACACGGTGGTGGGGGCCTGTGGGGGGGCGGTCCTGAGATCCCCGATAGCCCGCCTCCCTGTCCTGCGCAGGCCTGTGCCGCAGTCGTGGCCGTCTGTTCACCCTGTGTTGTCTCTCCCCCAGCCTTGGCCTCTCAAACTGGGGTTTTCATCTCCCTATGAGGGGGTCCTGGTATGTACGCGCTCGGCGGCCGCGGTGCATGGGTCCCGGTGCGGTGCACGCTGGGGTTCTTGTAGCATAGCCAAGCATGTCCTAACCTCCCGGAAGTGCATGCTGGGGGCAGCCCCTCTCTGCTGACCCTCGTGCTGAGGACCACTAACCCGCCGAGCGACAGACGCGCTGTTCCTGCGGGATTCCTGCCAAAGTCCTAAGAACCCTGGTCCACAGAAAACTAACCCCTGGTGGCCCCACTCACCCTCTCCTCGCCCGGCACTGACCCCCGCCCGCCCGCCCGGAGGCCCCGTGAGACCCTCTGCCCCTTGTTCCAGGCCAAGAGCCCCAAGGCGCCGGCAAGCCAGGGCGGCAGCCTGGAGGAGCTGGAGGTGCTGCCAGAGGAGGAGGCTGTGGGCGGTGACGAGGACCGGGAGAAGGAGCTCCTCATGGAGCGGATCCAGTCCATCAAGGAGGAGAAGCAAGTGCCCCCCTGCCCTTCTGCCTCCGTGCTGCCTGCCTGTGGCCCATGCCCATCCCCCTGCTCTTGATCTCGGGAACAGCACGAGCAAAGGCCCTGAGGCCGGAGCGCATGGCTGGCTCGGCACTGAGCCAGCTGCCAGGCCTCCCTCAGCAGCGTGGCCCTGTGCTCAGACCCTCAGAGGCCCAAGGGCACTTTAGACTAAATGGCCCTGGAGTGGGGGAGGAGGGTGGAGACGGGGTGACCTGAGGAGCAGCACCGCTTGCTCTGCACTTGCCGTGACATGGCCTCCCGCAGTGGGAGTGGCCTTGGACACTGGACCTTCACCCCAGGGAGGACATCACCTACCGGCTGCCGGAGCTGGACCCGAGGGGCTCGGACGAAGAGAACCTGGACTCGGAGACGTCGGCCAGCACCGAGAGCCTGCTGGAGGAGCGGGCCGGGCGGGGGGCCTCGGAAGGTCAGTATTAAGGTAGCGTCACTTTTCTCCTTCCCGTCCACCCCAGCAGGCCCCAGGGCGAGGGTCCCTCTGCCCACCCGAAGCTGCAGTAATCTGCATCTGTCTCTCAAAAGGGCCCCCCGTGCCTGCTCTCCCCTGCCCCAGCGCGCCCGCCCCGAGCCCCCTCCCCACGGCGGTCGCCCCTCCACGACGAAGGCCGTCATCCTTCGTCACGGTCAGAGTGAAGACCCCTCGGAGGACCCCCATCATGCCGACGGCCAACATCAAGCTCCCGCCCGGCCTGCCGTCCTACCTGCCTGGCCGGCTGCCAGGTGTCCAGGAGGCTGCTGTCCCCGTGAGACGCCGAGAGCCACCTGCTCGCCGCCCGGACCAGGTACACTCCGTGTACATCACGCCTGGGATGGACCTGCACAGGCAGGACGCCCTGGAAACCCTGGAGGAAGATGACCGGCCCCCTGGGGCCAAGCGGAGGTACTCGGATCCCCCGACATACCGCTTGCCCCCCAACTCAAGCCAGGCTAACGGCTGAGGGGCGCGCAGGACAGAGTCTGTGTCCCGGGTCAGCGCCAGAGCTGCAGAGCTAGCGGTGGGCTTCCTGAGAAAAGTCCAGAATGAAATGCTCCAAGAAGGGCCAGAGGTGGGCCCGGCTCCACGCGCAGAGTCAGCCAGGGAGTGGTGGCAGGGGCTGGGCCCCCTCGCCTCCAGGCCCCAGTCGCCCCCTCCTCTTTTGTACGTTTTATGTAACTGTTTCTCTGTACGTGGTTTACATAACTTTAAGTCTTAACAGCCTTAATGGAACACCAAATCGTTTTTTATATGTCTATGTTCAGACTTTTCTGTTAACGCTGGGCGTCTCCCTCGTAACCTGGACCTGATGGTCACAGCAGAGGCCACTCTAGGCCACAGAGCTGGGCTCCACTCAGCAGGTGGTCAGCAGGGAGGGACCCTGCGTGACAGTTTTGGACTCGTGGGGCACCTGACCACCCCGTCTGTCCCCGATGCGTGTGTCGGGTGGTGGCGGCCATCTGGCCAGTGTACATTCCAGGAGTTGCTGGAGCCGTTCTTGGGAGTCAAGGCTGTTCCCTGGAGCCAGGACGGGAAACACGTAGGCCAGGCCCTCGCCCCAGGCCAGCACCGGCCTTCCGTCTCAGAGAGACCTGAAAATGTGGCCAACACACCTGTCTGCTGGGCCTGGACGCCGGGGGCTGGAGGACCCACCCTCGCGCTGCCTGTGCTCTGTGACAGGACAGAGCCGGTGACTCAGGACCACTGCCACTAGGCAGGGCGGGGAGAATGAGGCCTTCTCATCTCTACAGAGCCACAGCAACGGCCTGCGGTTGTCCTCTCAGGCTGCGTCCACTCAACAGACTCGTGGACACAGGGCCACAGGCCTGGGACGATGGCCGCACCACACGAGGTGTGAAATAAAGAGAAAGTGCCTGACAAGTGTCTGTGCGGTTCATGCTCACGCTGGCTGGGGGACCCCTGGTGTGGGAGCCCCTGCTCGATCCTCCAGAACTCCACCGACTTCACACTCAGGTAAGGAACACAAACGCCCCAGCACACTCAACTTTGAGTGCCGACATGACACTGCCGGTAGGAATTTCCACACCTACCCTCGTGTGAGGGGTTGTGGTCAAAACACAGGTGCAGCTGGGTGCCACTGGCCACACCTACCTACCTGGGAGGCTGAGATCAGGAGGAGGATCATGGTTCAAGGCCAGCCCCTCCACAAGACCTCATCTTCAAAACAACCAGAGCAAAATGGACTGGAGGTGTGGCAGAGGGCCTGCTTTGCAAGTGTGAATTCCTGAGTGGAAACTCCAGTCCCAAAAAAGAACAAAACCTGAAGCCGGGCACTGGTGGCTCACACCTATACTCCTTGCTACTCAGCAGGCAGAGATCAGGAGGATCTCGGTTCAAAGCCAGCCATGGGCAAATAGTTCATGAGACCCTATCTCAAACCCATCACAAAAACGGGCTGGTGGAGTGGCTTGAGCAATAGCCTCACCCTGCCTAGCAAGTGTGAGGCCCTGAGTTCAAATCTCAGTACCACACTCAAACAAAACAAAACAAAACAGAAAAGAAACTTGAGAAAGCTCAACACAATTCTGATAGCACTGCATAGTACTGCTTAACTCCTGCCCTGCTAGCCAGGGAATTGGTGGGTCCTTCTGATTTAAGTTTGGGCTTCATACCCAAGGCATGGGATCCATCCCCAGCACCAAACTTAAATTTTAAAAAAATCTTTACCCTCAGGTTGTGTGTAAGGCGCATACAAAACGATGAATTTTGAGTTTAGACTTAGATGTGGGCTCAGTCACCAAGACCACCGCATATGCAAATATCCCAAACCTGCAAAACTCTTGAAATCCCAAACACCTCTGCTCCATGGCATTTCATAGAAGAGATGCTCAGACTGGGGGCGCAGCTCCGTGGTGGAGCGCTGGCCGGGCATGCGCACGGCTTTGGGTTTGATCCCGGCACTGCAAAACAAAAATCCTCCTGAATGAGGAGTATCTAACGGGCCCCCAAGAGCCAGCGTTAATGGTGCTGAAGTCTGTGATCAGAAGACTTCCAGATTCTGTGTGTCCCGCTGGGAAGAGTCCATGGCAGGACACGGGTGCATAGGTGGAGTTTATTAAAAATCAGGGGAAATGTGAAGTGGAGAATGATGAAGCCCACGTGGAATCTGGAGGCCAGGACGGTATGCGTCCCTTCTCTGGGTGCTTTTAAAACTTCTGCTGACCTATGGGAAGGGAGGAACCAGTGACTCCCATCCAATAATCAATGAGTGGGGAGGGGCACGGGCAGTTCCCGGGCCAGGTGAGGGTGGTCTGGGCTGCCCCTGGGCAAACTTTTCCTACTTCTAGCCGGCCTCACCAGGGCCATTAGGATCAGTTGTGGGAACTGGGGGAATATGGGGTGGACCCTGAAGACCCCAAATGCAGACTGCAGATGTAGCAAAGCCGGGACTTGTCCCAGGCCACGCAGCCGGGAAGAGATGGGCTCACGCTCAGCCTGCAGAGGCCGGCTTCATGTACCCTGGGTTTGGTCCCCTCTGTGGTATCTTCGGAGGACGTGAGGCCCCCGCTGTGAACAGGACTCGGGTGACCTGGGGGCGGGGCGACAGCGGCATGCCAGGCTGAGGTGGGTCCTCGTGACGGCCCCACTGGGGCCCTAGGTGGGCTGGGGTCTTTTCATGGGATCCTGGGTATTTGGGGGTGACCCTGCCCCAGCTCTCACTGCCATGGCTAGCTCGCACTGTGCGTTTCCCAGGAAACGAACCCAAAAAAGCTAAATTGGCTCAAGGCCAGCTGGGACCTGAAGTCATAACCTATGCCATCCAAGTACGGATGAGCCCCTCTGACGCATGATAAAGCCAGGGTCTGGGGAAGTCTTGTACTCTGAACCCCAGGTCAGGGCTTCTCCCCTGAAGCGGGGAGGTTGCCTGGATGTGGGAAGAATCCAAGCAGGGAGACGCGTGGGGCAGGCGGAACGGAATAACCAAGGAGCGCGTTGCACAAAGGCCCTACAGTAAAGGACTCGGTCCTCGCACCCCTTCCGGGAGAGCTCAGACAGTCCCCAGGACCGGTTCAGATTGGCGCCCCTCCTTTACACAAAACGTCACTTCCGCCCGAATCAAAGATGGACCTACATGGACGTTGTGAGGCACATCCGCCCAGACGAAAGTACTTCCGCCCGCCTTTAAGATGGCGCCGGCGGAAGGGGAAAGGCATCAGCCACTGGCCATGGCGGCGTCGAGACTGGAGCTGAACCTGGTGAGGCTGCTGTGCCGCTGCGAAGCAATGGCAGCGGAGAAGCGGGACCCGGAAGAATGGCGCCTAGAGAAGGTGAGAGGGTTCCACGATGCCGTGGACAGCCTAACTCCCGGAGAGTGGCCCGTAGAGTCGATGGCCTCTCCAGTCCCAACAGCTACCTAGCCACGCCCTTTCCGGTCAGCTCGGCCACGTCTACGTGCAACCCCCGCCCTATACCTGCGGTTCCCTTCGACCCCGCCTCCGTCCTGGCCACGCCCCTCCTCCTCCTTGCAGTGGTCCCGCCCCGTCCATGGCGCTGGCTCTAGCCCTGGACCCTTCACACTTGTCGCTTCCGTCCTGGCCACGCCCTCTTTTCATAGTACTGGCCCCGCCCCCTTCACGCTTGCTCCTCTGTCCCACCCCGCCTCCATTCTGGCCACGCCCCTCTGTCTAGCAGTGGTCCCACCCCCTCCTTGGCCCCGCCTCCATCCTGGCACCTCCCGCCTGCCCCGCCTTCGTCCTGACCACGCCCCTCGTCCTGGCAGCCGCCCCACCCCCTCCCTGGCGCTGGCCCCGCCCCTTGGCACCTCCCACCTGCCCCTCCATCCCGGCCCCGCCTCCTCTCCCACACTGGCCCCGCCCCGCTGACCCCAGTGAACTGGCTGACACCACTTTCCCTCCCCAGTACGTGGGGGCCCTGGAGGACATGCTGCAGGCGCTGAAAACCCAAGCTAGGTGAGTGCAGAGGTCCTGTGGGGACACCCGGGCTCCATTCCTTGGGGGAACCTGTCCCCGAGCTGGGGACAGTGGGCAGGTGTTCCTTCCCCCTTGCTGCCTTACAGCAAACCGGCCTCGGAGGTGATCAACGAATACTCCCGCAAGGTGGATTTCCTCAAGGGGATGCTGCAGGCAGAGAAGCTGGTGAGAGGGGACGCTGCTTTCACGGCCCCCATCAGGGTCCCCAGGACCTGTCCCTCCAGTGACACATCTTCTCACCTGCCCACAGGCCTCCTCCTCAGAGAAGGCACTCGCCAACCAGTTCCTGGCCCCTGGCCGCGTGCCCACCACAGCCAGGGAGCGGGTGCCCGCCACCAAGACCGTACATCTGCAGTCACGGGCTCGGTACACCAGCGAGATGCGGAGTGAGCTGCTGGGCACGGTAGGGCTCCCTTGTCCCTGGAATGCACGGTCCTGGGGGCGGCCAGAGCAGTGCTGTCGGGCACAGGGAGCCCAGAGGGCCCAACAAGCCCCTGCCCTGAGCCAAGGCTTAAAGGGGCTTTGCTAGATGAATAGGAGTTTGGTTCAAGGCAAAAATTGAGCCACTTGTGCTTTAAGCTCCAGGGTTGGTCCCGGAGCAGGATTTGGCTCCCAACTTGCCACGTGTCGCAAGATAGCTAAGGCAGTCCCAGGACTGGTCCAGGGCTCTGAGGATGGGAAGGTCTGAGGACAGAAAGGACAGGTTTGAGACAGGACAGGGTGGCTGACGTCAGGCCTCTCCCTTCTTCCCGTAGGACTCTGCCAGAGGTGAGTCAAGCTGACCCTACTGACCAGCACCCCATACGCCCAGCCTGGCTCCCACGGACTTTGCCATCCAGGGACAATGTTGGCCCAGCATCTCCAAAGCAGTCTGAAGGGGGAGCTGGGACAAGGAGTGATCCGGGAAGGGGGCCTGCTGAGCACCTTGGCCCACAGGGCCAGCGCTAGGCTGGGACAGAGTCCAGACAAGGTGGGAAAGGCTTCTATACAGGGGCATTCTAGCCAGGGCTTTGAAGCATGGTGAGGAGCCCACCAGGAAGCAGCCTAAATGAGCAAACAGCATTCAGGTGGCAGACACAGCACACGCAAAGGTCAGGAGGCTGGAAACAAAACCAGCCTTCTTCCTGCTTGGTCTGTTTTGCTTCCAGAGTTGGAGCTGGACGTGAGGAAGCGAACGTGAGTGTCCTGAACTGTGGGGGAAGTGGGGGGGGAGGCTGGGCAAAACTCCGGCCACTGCGGGCTTCTGGCTACTGCAACGGTCCAGGCCACCCAGCGGAGGCCGCGTCTGGAGCCACTTAGGAACGTGTCATGTCGCTCTTTCTCTCCTGCTCCCCCCACACATGTGGGGTCAGTGGGGTGACAGGGTCCAGGCCGGCAGACGAGAAGCAGTCAGCAGCTGAGCTGGACCTCGTCCTACAACGACACCAGGACCTCCAGGAAAAGTTGGCCGAGGAGATGCTCGGCCTAGCCCGCAGCCTCAAGACCAACACACTGGCCGCCCAGAGCGTCATCAAGAAGGACAACCAGGTGGGCGGACTGTGGGACTTCTCCAGCCTCTGCCTCAGGGTATCCAAGGAAGCTTCCCAGGGCGGGGCTTTGTGCCTGGGACTTGGCTGGATGAGTAGGAGTTTGTTATTCTGAGCAGAGGGCACAGCAGCAAGGGTCAGGAGATGCAGGCCTGCCCCAGGGCACTAGGGATGGGCAGCACTTAGCCCCAGTCCTCCCTCCCCGCCTCCCCACAGACCCTGTCACACTCACTCAAGATGGCCGACCAGAGCCTAGAGAAGCTGAAGACGGAGTCGGAGCGGCTGGAGCAGCACGCACAGAAGTCGGTCAACTGGCTGCTGTGGATCATGCTCATCGTGGTCTGTTTCATCTTCATCAGCATGATTCTCTTCATACGCGTCATGCCCAAGCTCAAATAAAGCCTGTGCCCTCCGACCTCTGACCTCTGACCTCCAACCCCCGCCTCCCACCGCTCTGCCCATCTCCCCCCTCAAGGTGGGGAACAAGATGCAGGGTCTTTGGGGGCCTCCAGGAGCGGGGGAGGGTGAAGGGGGACTTTGGGGTCAGTGACAGCAAGCATGACCCGTTCCATCCTGGCATCTGCCCCACCTGGGACAAGGCCAGGCCCAAGAGCCCCACAAGAAGACAAGCGTGTGACACACGTCTGTAATCCCAGCACTCCAGAAGCAGAGGCGGGAGGATGGTGAGTTCCAGGCCGCCTGAGCTACACAGTGAGGCCCTTTCCCAAAAAAGAAGTGATTCACTCGCCAGTTAAGGCCAAACTGTAAACTGAGACGTCACTGGAGGGGTGGAGGGAGTGGGTGCTGCAGGTTGATGGGGGATCCTGTCTCTGCTGGCGGAGCACAGGTGGTACAGGCTCCACAGGATGGTCACTCAGGACACACAGGTCCTGCCGGGCACAGTGATGCACACCTGTAATCCCCGCACTTGGATGAGGAGCAGAGGCCAGCCTGGACTGCATATTGAGACCCTGTCTCAGAAAACCACAGGTCCGTCTGCCCGGCAACCCTCTACTGGGATTTGCCCAAAGGTGGGCCTAGCACCAGGGTGGTACCGAGGTTTGAACTCGGGGCCCGGCTACGTGCACGGACACATTTTTTTTAATGAGGAAAGGCAGATTTGGTTGTGGTTGAACGGGGATCTCTCCAAGAGGCCACAGCTAACTGCTCCCTTTGGGGACAGGGTTCTGTGACAGTCACTTCTGTCCCGTGTGCCTTTTCTATTGCTTGCATTTTCTATTTTTTTTCTCCACTTTGTTCCTTTTTTAAATTTTCCATTGTTTTCTACTGCTTGGGTTTTATAATATGCCCCCAGCAACGATTTAAAGTATGATTGCTGAAAAGATAAAGTTACGTTCACATTTTTCAGAGGCAGAGAGGGTGAGTCATTGGCTCCAAACCCACAGTGGGCCAGGGTTGGACTCGAACCGGCGTCTCACAGGTGGCGCTAAGCCCGACCCCCCGCAGTCGTCAGACCCGGCCCCGCCCCCGTGGCTCCAGCTCACGCCCAGCCAGGCCCCGCCCCCGCAGCGTCAGGCCCCGCCCCCGAGCAGCCCACTCAGGGTCCGCCGGCAGTTTCTACACAGCCGGACTCGCGTGCCTTTGCGTCAGCGGACCCAGGCGCGCTTCCCCGGACGCTGGGACAGGTGATACCGAGCGGGAGCGGTCCGTGCGACCCGCGGGCGGGGCGGAGGTGCCGGGGGAGCGGGGGCTCCTCCTCAGGGACTGTGACCAGGGGCTCCTGCCGCTCCAGAGGGCGACGACCCGCCTGCGCCCGGGTGAACTCCAGCGCGCCCAGGGCTGCGCAGTGATGTCATGGCTTATTTGCATAGGCCCGTTTCCGGGTTACGCAGCTAGGGGCGGGGCGTGGGGGGGCGGCGCGCTGTGGGCCAACCGCGTGCGTGTATGCAAATAGCGGCGGAGCGGGGGGCGGTTCCCGCCTCCAGGCGCGCCCTCCTCGGGTGTCCGCAGGCCGCCCGCAGACCACGCCCGCCGCGCGCGGGCCGCGACGCCCCGCGCAGGACCCGCCCACCGGCCCGCGGACCCCGGGGACCCCAGAGCGGCGTCTCGCCGCGCCTGATGCCTACCCGGGAGCCGCCTCGGACCCGTGGCTCCCGGGGGAGCCCGCAGACCCGCCCGCCTGGCCCTGGACCCCCGGTGAGTGTGACCGGAACGGGGTCCTAGGCAGAGGATGCAGCTTTCTGACACCCCTGTCACCCCAAAACCGTGATCCCTGCGGTGTCTGCAGCCACTGGTGCCTCGAGGCCACAAGTCCAGCACCCAGCGCCCTCGGCTGCAGCCGCAGCCTGGACCCCACACGGCGAGGCCTAGGAAGATTGTATTTGAGGACGAGCTGCCCTCCCTGCCCCTCTTGGGCATCAAGAAGCCTATTGGAGCCGTCTCTGGGGGGCATGTGCCCAGCCCCCACCCAGTGCCCGACTATGAGCTGTGAGTGTCCCCCAGGTGGTTCTTGATGCCTGGGAACTGGGAAAGGGCATCGAGGCTGGGGCTTTGACGGGTGAGTAAGAGCCTACTAAATAAAAAAAAAAAAGAGCCTTTTTGAGTTGGGAGCACCCGCGTGCAGGTGGGGTTCCTTGCACCCACACTGTCTGACTCCCCTCAACCCACAGCAAGTACCCACCGTTGAGCAGTGAGAGGGGCCGGAGCTGCTATGTTGCAGTGTTCCAGGACCAGTATGGAGAGTTCTTGGAGCTGCAGCAAGAAGTGGGGTCCACGCAGGCCAAGCTGCAGCAGCTGGAGGCCCTGTTGAGGTCCCTGCCCCCACCCCGGAGCCAGGTCAGCATCAGGCACGGACCCTGCACCCCACAGCCCTTATGGGGACACCCACTGGGTTCAAATCTCTGGGACAAGGCCAGTCCTCAAGGTCCTCCCTGGGAGGGTCACTTTGTCCATCTGAGCCTGTTTCCCCCTCCTTCCATCCCACTCTACTGAGCCCCTTCCTCCTCCTTCCTTGCAGAAGGAGGCCCAGGTTGCAGCCCGTGTCTGGAGAGAGTTGGAGAAGAAACAGACGGTGAGCTGGGGCTTGTGGGTCCCACGACTTGGTCTTTGCACCCCTGACGTTGCCATGGGGCTGGGACGCTTGTGCCCTGACTCACATAAGCTTCAAGGAGAGAAAGCGGGGCTTAGAGAGGAAAGAGCAAAGGACTGAACAGCTCGTGGGCCACAGGCTAGACTGCTGTAAGGACTTCCCTGGCTCTCGCCCTCCCAGGACCCTAGCTTCCTGGATAAGCAGGCTCGCTATCGCTACCTAAAGGGCAAACTGAGGCACCTCAAGACCCAAATCCAGAAATTCGATGACCAAGGGGACAGCGAGGGCTCCGTGTACTTCTGAGTCTGCTGGAGAGGCAGCAGGACACCGGCCCCTGCCCTTCCTTGCTCTTCACCCTGCCTCGAGGAGCCTCAAGATTTGCGGACGACATGTCCTGTGGTTCAGCACTGATGGTGCATCCTCCAGGCAGCCCTCCCCGGAGTCCCCTGGGCCCCCAGCCCTGCTCCATGGAGACACCGGATCTCAGTCCTTCCAAGGGAAGTGGGCCTTCTTCTCCATCCCAGCAAAATAAACATGCATTAAACCCCTACTGTATGCAGCTGCAGCACACCCTGATTTCACTTGTCATCAAAAAGCCTTCTTCCATCTTCCAGCCCAGGGGGCAGGGGGAGAAGGGAATGAGCTTCAAAGGGAGTGCCCAGAGCGTAACCAAGCTTAATCCTAGCTACTTGGGAGGCTGAGATTGGGAGGGTGGAGGTTAGAGGTCAGCCTGTGCAGCTAGTTCATGAGACCCCCGTCATCTCCAAAATGGACTGGAGGGGTGGCTCGAGAGGTAGAGCACCTGCTTTGCAAGCACGAAGCCCTGAGTTCAAAACCCCAGCCCTACCCAAAACAAAAACTGAAGGTAGTGCGGGGCTGGGGGTGGGGCCCACTGGCAGTGCTGTTGCTCAGCAGGACCCGGTCCTCGGATCTCCCTAGCACTGCAAAAAGCCAAGGCCGCGCAGGTAGGAAACGTTTTTTATTATTGGCCTTGATTCACTTGTCACGCAGTATCCAGCACGGATCAGAAGGGCAGAGGCCCAGCCTGGCCCTGCTCCGCCTGCCCGGCTGCAGCAGCCTCTCAGGTCCATCAGCCAGGGAAGCCACCTCACTGTCCCCCAGCTCCTGCCTGAGGCGCTGGGGGACAGGGCGGCCCCTCACCCCACCCTGGCCAGGGCCTCAGGGGAAGGAGGAGGCTGCGGCCTGGAGGATCAGTCTTTTTGGTTTCATGATCATTTAAAAACAGAAAGACAAACATGTCAGTCTTAGAAAGGGGTAGTGTCCCTCGGGAGAGAAGCCAGTGCTGGGGTGCGCCCGGTCCCTTGAGGTCTGCGTGCGGGGCGCCGCCGTCACTGGCCAGAGCCGTAGGGCCAGCTGAAGGTGCTGCCGGACAGCAGCATGTCGCGGATGAGCGTCTCGATGGGCGTCTTGCCCACCAGGCGCATGAAGAACAGCTGGGAGATGAGCGAGGCGGGCACGGCGCGCAGGGCGGGCAGGCGCAGCAGCAGGCGGCCGAAGCGCTGCGGCTGGGACGGGTACTGCGCCCGCACGTACTCGGTGAGCGCCACCTGCGCCTTCTCCTGCAGGCTCTCCACGTGCGCCGGGTCCGAGAGGCCGCAGGCATCTGGGGGCAGGGGGCCATGGTTACACGCGGGTGGCAGGAGGGCACGGGCCCGCAGGTGGGACACGGGGCAGAAATGGGGCTTATCTAAGGCAGTGCCCACCCTCCCGGATACTGAAGTGCTCTGAAGCCTTGCGGGGGGGCGCTAAGGAACCCCCAGGGGAGACTGGGGAGACTCAGGGGCAGAACGAGCGCGCCGCCAGTCTCAGGAATACGGCAGGCCCCAGCTGCCCGGTGATGACTTGAGGGCGGCACAGGGGCGGAGCCTCAGTCACACCGCCCCGCCCTGTGGGCGGAGCCCCAAGCCACGCCCCCACCAGCTGCAGCCGGCCATAGCAACCCTGAGACTACCCTGGAGATCCTGGGTAACAACAGGTCCTTGGGCCCAGGGATCAGGCAGTGGGTGGGGTCGCCAGGCGGGGACAGGGATGTCCCCGGCGTCCCTCTCCACCTGCCTATCAGTGCTCGTCACAGAGCACTTTAGATGAGGCCGGGGGATAGGGTGGGGGGGTGTCCTGGAACTGGGGGCAACGGAGGTCCAGGTGTCGTACTGCCTGCACCAGCGACTGCCCCGCTGTCCCGCATGGGGCTCCCCGTCCCGTCCCCCCAGCCCCCAGCAGCTCACCGGGCGTGAAGAGCGCGATGGCCTTGAGGCAGCCGTACTCGGCCGAGTCCACCTGCAGGCGGCCCAGCTTGTCCACCTGCTCCTGGAAGGCGCGCACCTGGTCCATGAAGGCCACGGCGCGCTCGGCGGCCATGGGCGCGGCGTGCAGGCCGGCGGCGGCCAGCAGCGGCGCCGTGTGCAGGGGCAGCGCGGCCTGCGCGGCGTTCAGCACGAACAGCTCGCTCCAGCTGAGGCGCAGCAGCGCCACCTGGTCGGCCACCGGCAGCTCGGGGAAGAAGGGCGCGTGGCGCGCCCACTCCACCGTGCTGAAGAGCAGCCGCGCCGCCAGCTCGCACACGTTGTCGATGCCCAGCACGGCGCCCGCCGCGCCGCCGCCCGCACCGAAGCGCCCGGCCGCCGCGGGGTAGGGCTCGGCGCGCAGCAGCTGCGCGATCAGCTCGGACACCGGTGTCCCCGGGAACAGGTCGCCCGCCGCCGCCAGCGCCGAGCCCGGGGGGCTGCCTGACGCGGCCACGGCGCCCGGCAGCGAGTGCGGGATGCGGCCGCGCTGCACCGCTGCGGGGGGGACAGGGGACAGGTGGGGACAGGAAGAGGGAAGAGAGGGAGGGGAGACAAAAGTGCGCAGATCGTCACTCGGCTCCTCTCCTCTCCTCCAAGGCCTATCCCCGCCCCAGTGCGCGCACGGCTGGGTGGGTGGAGGCCCGAGCTTGCGTGCCCCACTGTCCCCACCCTCCCGGAGGCTGGGGGCCCAGGGGACAATCTCCCCTGAGTTCAGGACACTGGCTGAAACACCCTCTCCCTGGCGGCCCTGGAGGCTGCACCTGTCAACCATGTCCCCATCTGACAATCCTGGGCTGAGCCAAGGAGGGCTTGGCGCCCCTGTCCAACCTGGTTTCCAAGGCGAGTGACAGGTACCCACCAGTCCCACGGGGCTCCTGTCTACGGAGCTAGAATCCTGTTTCCAGCTCCCCGCCACACCACTCATGTCCCCCCAGGGCGGGTCTTGGCTTCTGCTCCCCAGTGCTGGGAGCGGGATCCATGGCAATAGGTCCCCCATAAACAACAGGGTGCCCACTAGCCCTGCCCATTAAGGGAGGAGGACCCACTGCCGCCATGACTGGGGCGAGGGGTGGAAGAGGCACCGAGGCAGGAGGGCAGAGGGTTGGCTGCCTGCAGGTCTGGAGGGGGCGGCTGGTCGGGTGCCAGGCAGAAACGAATGAACGATCTTTAATGAGCAAGCAGCAGGCTGAGTCTCATCACCTGCGTGAACTCCAGGTCACCCCGGCCTGGAGCCAACAGCGCAGAGGAAGCAGGGGCTCACAGAGAAGCCGAAGTGTGGGGTGGAGCCTGCCTGTCCAAGTGGGAGAAACTGGACCAGGCCCCAAAAAAGTGTCCCCCGGCCCTCCTGGAGGCCTTCTCCTGACCCCTTTTCCTTCCTAGGCTGTAAAACCTGCCCTTCCCATTCCTCCAGGCACATTCCTACCTCAGGGCTTTTGCACTTGTGTTCCCCAAACTCGTCCCCAAACTCCCCTGACCCCAGCTCTTCCCCCTCCTCTTCATTCAGTCCCCACCCTGGGAGTTCAAACCCCGGCCACAGCCCTACTGCTCTGTGATCCTGGCACATGGCCTCACTGACCTCCCCTCTGTGCCTAATTCTTCATCTGAAAAAGCAGGTGACAATGACCCTATCACTGAATCAAGTGAGGTTCTTCGTAACTTGCTTGGAATAGTGCCTGCCACATGGGCAGGGCTAGATGGAGCGTAAGTCACACTGAGAACGTTGAGTGAGCACGTACTGTGTTCCAGGCCCTCGACTAGGTGGGCAGGGGATGTGCCAGTGAGCAAGACAGAAATAAAGGGGGGGTGCCCTCTTAGAAGGCCATGTTTGAGCAAACCTTGGGGACACAGGAGGAAGCCATGCCAAGATGTGTAGGGAGATCAGCCTGGGCAGAGGGAAAGGCCGTGCAAAGGTCCTGAGACAGGGCTGTGATTTGGATCATAAATTGTGATTTTGAAAAGCTCCAACCCTGAGCCTTTGGAGCTCTGACGTACCTCAGGATTTTTAGTCATACGGACAAGGAGGGCAGGGACAAGACAGACACCCTCAAATTTGAAGGGACCAAAGAAAGTAATTAAAGAGATTTTTTGTTTTTGAGTCAGTAGCCCAGGTTGGCCTTGAACTCATGATCCTTCTGCCTCAGCCTGCCTGGCTCTCAAACAGTTTTAAGAAAAAGGAACAGCCTTTCCCAGCTTCTCCCACTGAGGCTCTTCAAGAAGAAGCCAACTTTAGCTGGGCACTGTGGCTGACTCCTGTAATCCTAGCTGATCGGGAGGACTGAAGTTCAAAGCCAGCCTGGGCAAACAGTGCTCAAGACCCTATCTGGAAAATACCCAACATAAAAAAGGGCTGGTGGAGTGGCTCAAAGTGAACGCCCTGAGATCAAACTCCAGTACTGAAAAAGACAACTTTAAATCAGAGGAGACTCAGGGTAGATGCTAGTAAGAACTGCCAGGCAGAGCCTAACACAGGAGCTGCCACCCAGTCAGCTGAATTTGGCTCCCAACCCCAGGGCTCCACATGGACAGCCCTAGGCTCCTCGTGAAGTCTAGGCTAGTTGTCGGAATCCTAGGCGCAGCTGCCCAGCAATGTCTGTCCACCCTGTCCCCTGGGCAGGGACAGGAGGCTGGGCCTCCCTCTGGCTCCTGGCACCCAGGTCAGGAGAGAGGGAAGCGGCCTTTTGCCTTCATCTGGCCAAGTCCCTGCCTTGTGCAAACAACGCGGGCGGTGAAGGGTGAAGGGTGGAGGGTGGAAGGTAGGGACATCAAACGAAATGCATATATCCTTGTTCAGAAAGAGACCAGGCGGTCACAAAGGTGTCAGGGCTGGAGAGCTGGCCTCTGAGGCTAGGGGGGAACGGGGTGCTGGGGAAAGTCCCCAGGTGGGCCCACGTCACACAGCCAACTCCTTGCTTCCCGGGCCCCACCCACGGCAGCCAGCAGAACCTAATTGGATTTCTGCAGCCCGCGGCCAGGCGGAGGCCCAAGGGATCAGGGGATCAGTGGTAATGAGGTTACAGGCGCCAGACCCCGCCCCCGGCCTCCAGACCCCAGAGCCGGCTGCCCCCTGCAGCACTTACCCTCCTTCCGCATGCCCACCCGGAAGCACTTCTTCAGGCGACAGTACTGGCACTGGTTCCGGTGATGCTGGTCAATCTGGCAGTCACGGTTTGACCTGTGGGCATGAGAGACCAGGGTTTCCTGTGACACCCATGTCCTCCTCCCTGATCCACCCTGTGAGAGCTCCCTGGATTGGAGAGGTCACCCGAAACGGGGTGTGGGGTGGGTGTTGATGGATGAACGGAGTCCATGGGAAGGTGCACATATTAAGACGTGCACTTGGGAACTGGGTT